TCTGACTCATAAGTGACTTGAATATCCATGATCATCCCAAACAAATATAATAAAGAATTCATGGTTGCAGTTCAGACTTTCGTCCGTGTGATTTTATGCCAGAGAATATGTATGAGTGTATGGTTTAAATTCTTACACCTTGAAAAACATCGGGTAAATTGTATTCGACACACACGATGAGTTGTCGTTTCAGTAATGTGGAAGTACGTGTCTGGGGACGTGTAGTGTTCTGAATCTCGGTCCAGAACACTCTTCAGGCGTTCTAAAAGCGTTACATCGTCAGAACACGTTGAAGCGTTCTAAATATGTTTGTAGAACACTCCTGTTCTGGGTCGAGAACATCAACGTTCAGAATATTTTCAGAACACATGGACGCGTTCTAAAAGTGTTACATCCATGTGTTCTGTCTAGTGTTCAGAAGTGTGTTGAACAAGGCACAGTGTACCACAGGCGTGTTTCCTATGTCCACTTGTAGTTATCGGAGTTCGTGGATGATGACGGCGATCTTGATTACATCGCTGATCTCCCGGAGGTCCGCCAACAGTCCGGTCGGTATGATGCACACATTCAAGCATCCCAGTCTGAGAGATAGCTTCTTGGGTTTCTTTCTTTGTTGTCTTGTCTGGAGCAAGGCTAACAGTCCGCGGACCAGGTTGGTCAGAGCCCAAAGCCCCACGCACCCACTAGAACAGGTGGACTGTTGCGGGACAGCACCTTTGCTGGAGGCTGCCCAGCTAAGGCGGTCGGTGGCTGTCCAATGAGATGCGATGATCCCCCCAACCGTCGGAAGCAACTCTTGGCGCCATGTTCTACGCCAATCAAGCTAGGCTTATCACCTGTAGACCGCTCCTGTTCCGTCGCTATGAGGCGACGCTGGAGTTTCCACGTCAGGGCGCAGGTCAGGGGTAGCTTCATGTGGGACTGTTGCACATGCAGCAGGCTCTCTGTCCAGGTTCTACTACACCAAATCATAATCAGTCGTTCAACAAGCAGTTTTCGTAGTGCAGATTGAATCAGTGGCAGCTGTGATTGGATGAATTTGTGTAAGATTTTTATGTTTTTTAAATGTGCACCCTTCCAGTAATTAAAACTGAACATGTTTTTTTTCCATATTTAGTGCTGTCTTTTTTTTTTAACATGATGACTTATGTTGAATGATACCAGATATTTTCAAGCAAGTGACATATGGTGCGGAACTGGGGGTGGTGTGTTTAGCTTTCTGTATTCGGAAAAGGAGCTGGCTAACCTAGTCGGGTTTTTTTTTAAAAATTTATTGCTGCTCAAAGGCCAGACTGTGCACACGTGTACAGGTAATAGCTGTTGAGTGCATAGTTATTTTAAAAAAAAATATAACGTTACTTTAGAAGTCTATGGGAAAACAGGTGGTTGTGTGAAACGTCGCTGATAAGTCTAAGGGAAAGGTAACAGTCAGCACTGCTTTGTATCAGAGGCGTCGCTGCCAGAATGGTGTTGAAGACAACACCTGGTTGCCTCGGGAACACCGACTCAGGATTTGCAGTGGCGACTCACTCCCTTAGCCTTTCCCATGAATGGATACAGCCGCTTGGCAACAGGGGTTTGGAATATGCCCCTCTGTCAGGAGCGCCTGGTTTTGAGGCGCCAGATAACCGCCTTTGTTCCCCTTCGGAGTTGACTGTCAGAGGCGCACACAGTTAGAGCATTACAGGACAGTGGGAGCTTGTCCCCAATCCCACCGCAGCAGACTGGGACCTCTGTCATGTCTGAATGTCCAGGGGGCGGTCAGGTAGCCTAGTGGTTAAAGCGTTCGTTCGTCACGCCGAAGACCCGGGTTCGATTCCCGACATGGGTACAATGTATGAAGCCCATTTCTGGTGTCCCCCGCCGTGATATTCCTGGAATATTGCTAAAAGCGGCGTAAAACCATACTCACTCACTGAATGTCTAGTTAGATTGCCTTGGTTAGGAGATAAGTTTATTTATTTCATAATTTGACTTGGGCTTTATGTCCATACAACGTTATTCTGTGGACTCCCATTTACATTGTCACAACGTTGCGCATCAATGTTGGGTTGCATTATTTTCACGTTGTCACAACGCCATGTGAACGTTGTAGTAACGTTCTGGTAACGTTGTATATTACGTTGTGGTAACGTTGTACTTTTATGTAGTTTTAACGTTGTGGTAACGTTGTATTTTACGTTGTGGTAACGTTATAATATGAGGTCTATGCAACGTTATTCTGTGGACTACCATAAACGTTGTCACAGCGTTGTCAACTAACGTGTTGGAAGGTTAAAATACTGAAATATTTCAGACCACCTTATTGTGTGGACTCCATTGGGGTTGTGACAACTGGACTATAAGTGATATTAACTAATAAATACTGACTCACATATTACATATGTGCTAAAGGCATATATCTGAAAAATCATTGACTATAGATCGTGCTTCGCATATTAACCCGACGCTTTTTATACATGAACGTGGTTTAAAGCGATTCCTACCGAAGATGCAGATTCCTAATCACTCAATGTCTCATGTTCCTTTGCGTTTTACCTCATCAGCCTTTTCCTGTATGTTTTTTTCTTTGTGTGTTGCATTTTCTGTGTTTGTCGTGTCATCCCAATAATCTGTGGTTGATAGTGGATGTTTTTATACTAACGTTATCACAGACAGAGGAATTACGTTCTGGTGTATTTAGTATTTTAAGGGATGAAAATCTTAATGCTGAATGAAAAAGAAAGTAATGCATTACTGCCTTGGTTTGTTTTCTGACGAAATTAGGGTGATTTTGATGAAACACTTCCATTCCTATGACTATCGTGAAGCAAACTGTTTGACATCCCAGCAGCATTTCAGAAACCTTGATACGAAACACAAACTTTGCGTAATGTCCGATGCACAACGTTTTCACAACGTAAAAGTGCAACGTTGTTATAACGTTGAGAAATAACGTTCCACAGCGACGTAATAATAACGTTGTGGAAACGTTATACCACAACGTTACCAATCCACAACCTTAACACAACGTTGTGAAAACGTAGTGTGTTAGCTTGGATATGCCCCTTGCTAAAATGCTTGCACTATATACCACAATATGGCTAATAGCGTATGTTCTTATTTACTTTATATTCGAGGCTGGGCAGAGGTGAGGTGAGGCGAAATGGGGGTTAACCTTGCGTCAAAGTTTATTGCACTCATATAGCGACGTACATGTACGTGTGTGTGTGTTTGCGTGGCTGCTTGTACTAGTCCGGACTGATTCCGATTTATGGTGCTAGCTCACTGAGATGAAGCAGTTTAACATGAATATCCCACTCACACAGTATACACACAGTATACTGACTCCGAGCCGACCAGTCCTTGTTTTAGCCCCTTAATGCCGAGCGCCAGACAGGGTAACAACAAGTACCACCTTTAAACGTATTTTGGTATGACGCGGCCGAGGATCGAACCCCGGAGCTTCCGCTCTCCGGGCGGACGCTCTACCACTAGACCACGGAGGGAGGAGAATCAAGGCATGTTTTATGTATCTAGATAACTTAACGATATTGTGTTGAGAAGTGCTTGACAGCAATTCAACAAATTAGAACATATATACTAGGTTTTTGACAAAAGTATTTAGGAATGAGGTTTAAATCTAATGAGTAATAATTTGCTCAAATTAGGGTATATTCGCCCTCAAACGTGTTAACGTTATTTTCCTTACACTGTGTTCATACTAGGGCTGGTTATCGATATAGATTATAGATATCGATAATCGTTATCTAAATATCGATCGATTATTGGTAAATATCGGAGAAGTAACTTTAAGCAAATATGCAAGAAAGTCCCGAAAGAAATTAATTTTCTTTAAGCCACTGGTGAGCAGTGACACATTTATGCATAGATTACTTTGTTGACATTTGAGATATAACAAAAACAGTTGCTTTCCGTCTTCGACAATTTACATTATTGACAATAACAAGTCTGTTTCCGTAAATCTAAACTTTATTTCATCACAACAGACTATCTAAGTTATTATAGATTACAACTATTTCATATCGAAAAATCGTAAATATTTCATCTCATCGACGAAAATTCCTATTATCGATCTTTTTCGACAGCTCTAGTTCATTCCTTAGTAAAATAACAATTAAATATCTGTCTCCTGCAACTACTTCTGTTCACCTCTCTAAGGAGGGGCACGGGTGGCCCAGTCGTCTTAGGCGCCGCGATTCGCTGTGCAGAGTTGCATGCGTCCCTTGGGCACGCCAGAAACCTATGATTGGGTGTTCGAATCCCGGTTCGCACCGATAATGTTTCTACGTTTGTCAGCACCATACCCGTGCTCGTGGGTTTCACCGAAGTGGTAAACGTCTGAGACCTGCATCACTTCGGGCTTTCCTCCAAAATTAAGCTGACACGCCGTGATATAACTGGAATACTGTGAAAAGCGGCGTTAAACCCAAATCACTCACTCATTCACTCACCTCTTTATGCAATTCTGGAACCACTGTGAAGTAATAAGAGAACAATTACAAGAAAGAACAACTGAAAAGGGAACACAGAACACAGAAATAAACAGTTACTGTTTTTACTGCATTTGGAGCCCATTACACCCGCCAGGACGAGACGCCGCAATTAATGTTATGTTTCATTTGAGACTTTCTCCCAATGCAAAATGTGTGTGTAATCATCAACTGCCAAATGGACGTACATCATTACATTTCAGTCAGCTGACTGAGAAAGTAGGTTTTACACGACTATCGGATAAAGTTGCTGGGTCTGCCGAGCCTGTATTTTTTCAATTTATTACAATATATTTAGCAAGGTAACAATAAGTTTATTCTTCCTGTTGACTGTCAACTTTTGCTAGCATTTCTTTAGGACATCCTCTTGGGATGGTGAGACTCAATATGTTGCGCTTACGTTTCATTCTTGAAAAAATGCAAGAAAGTTCAATTCAACTTATTAGTGGTAGGACAGGACATGAAGCGCTTTCGTGCTTACCTCCCTTTACATGACGTCACGTGCGCTGATCGCGTTGCAGCCATTTTGGTTGTGAGCACTGCAGACATATAGCGAAAGAACTTTGTAATAATTATCCTGATTTGGGCATTTTACACACGTTTTTTATAAACATGTCTGCTCAAGATCAAATTCGCGCCATGCTGGATGAACTCATGGGAACATCCAGGGATGGTAAGTTGGAAGAAATTAAATAGACTCGCAATATTTTGTGTCCATATTTTATGAGGTCCCCCAGAACGTTGTTGCTGCGTCTTTGTAACTGCATCTTTCGTGAACTGTTTTTAATCTCAGCTTGAGAGCTCGTATCTACGATAAGTAGGGTGCCAGGGTAATTGCAATACAGATAACTCATTTCTGAATTAGGTTACTTATCTTTTTCACATTACATACGTGGAATCTGAAACAAGCTACCAAGAGACGACACGTCCATTTTAATGGCGAACATCGTAGAATCGCCATTAAGTAAAAGAAAGACTCGGTAACCTTGAATGTATTATGAAAACTATACGCATTCGCGCCACGCATTCTAACAATGCTTCTGAATTCCTGAAAGTTAAATCAGTTCATCAAAGGTAAAATTCGTGCAAAATATGTCGTTGGCAACAATCAAATTATTGCATCTCCAACCTTTACGTTTGATGACACAATTTGCAGAAAGAAGTGCTGGAACTGGCCAAACATTTTTTACCTTATCAAATCCAATCTTCACATGCTTAACAGCCCATTAGATCATGTTGATTCAGTCATGCTTTTGTCGAAGGCAACAAACTTGCCGAAAAGTTAATTGCCATGTCAAAATGACAGTGAAACTGCATTATCAATGGTTCCATTCATTACTGTGGTAGTTAACTCTATTCCTTGCTACCAAACTAGACTTTTTGAGAAAGACTGCATGCTGAAATAAGCGCACCATACTATGTCGATACTTATAATCTTCATGAATGGAAACAAAACAAGGTTATAAATTAGATTTTCTGGGTGTAAATCATGAAATCATAGAGGGAAAATCAAATATAAAAACCCAGCGATGGTAAACTGCCTGTCCTATTAATGTTCATGACTCATATGCAAATGAAGAGAATATTCCATAAGCTGATATCATAGTGGGGCGGTCGGGTAGCCCAGTGGTTAAAGCGGTCGCTCGTCAAGCCGAAGACCCGGGTTCGATTTTCGACATGGGTACAATGTGTGAAGCCCATTTCTGGTGACCCCCGCCGTGATATTGCTGGAATATTGCTAAGAGCGGCGTAAAACCATACTCACTCACTCACTGACATCATAGTAAGGCGTTGTAAAACTAATTTGCATTTTCTTACTACTTCTACTACTACTTCACATTTGACAAATGTTTCGCTGCCTGTAGTGATTGAAAATAGATTATTTTGACGTTATCATCATGATCATGATTGTATTGACAAAACTACCTGAGAATCACTATGAACATGATAAAGCCTCTTTGACGTAAATAAACAATACTTTATTCAGTTCAAAGACAGATCTGATATTGATACAAACCTTAACAAATCTTAAAGGTTGTAGCAGATTGGAGTTAACTTGTCACAACCACTGATACTGCTGTTGCACCCAATTCTGTATGGCCCGACATGTTGGACTGTGACTTGCACGTTATATATGTCGGTTTATTTCTTGTGATGATGAGGGTTTCTTGTACATATTTTTAAATAGCAAACTAATGTTAATGTTGAAAAAGTTTATACTAGTTGTATCTTGGATCTATCCAATATTTGATTTGATGAATGTCTAAATAAATTTGTACATTGTTCTATGCATGTACCATTAACATGATATGCTTGAGAAAATGGATGAGCATAATTAGTTTACTTATTTTGTACTGTTATGTATTGAATGCAAATTGAGAAAGGAAATTTGCATTATGGTTAAGTCAATAACTTACTGTAAATAGATTGTAACTGTTCGTTGACGCAGGTTTTACCTATTTCCTAATGTGGAGTGGTGAGGCTAAGATTAATCTTACATGATGGTGTAAGTACATATCTGGTTTGCAGTATTCCCTTTGCATAAATTAAGATTTATATGTATGCTATGGATATTTCTCAAGGTTTTTCAGAAATATACTTTTGCACCTGAACTTCCTTTATAGTTTTAGGCATTGGTCAGGGCAGAAGAAAAATCTTACTATTTTATTGTATTTGGCACTGAATAAATGATCCAGTCTGAAACTTGAACTGTAGGTTCTTGAAGTCACAGCTGAAATAAGCTTTTCAGTTCCTTTTGGGGATTGCATCTTGTGAGACGTGTCTAACTATGTGCCATTTGTTGAACATCTTCCCGAGGCAAAGGAGTTAACTGACTAGAAAAGTCCAGTTTCCGCCCTTGCTGAACTAGGCTGGTATTATGGAGTTACATTTTGGCTGGACTAACGAGTCTATGCATAGTCCAATCAGAATCATTCACCGAAATCGAAATCCGGTTCGTAAACTGCCGTGCAGATTTCGATCGACTGCAGTATTTGCAGAGCATGTGCACCGCCAACTCGTTGTCAACATATATTATTCCAAATCTTTTCATGTTTTTAATCAAAGTGCTCACGCATTGCGCAATGTAAGACCCGTTTTGTCACAACATAGACATTGATTATCAATCAGATCGTCTTGACTTGGCGCCACTGTTTTGTTTCAAGCAAATGCACGTGATACGAGAGTTGGAATCTGATTGGTCTAAAGGAGAAGCTCAGAAGGGACATAACTCGTAATAGCCACTGGTGGCGCTACGATAGAGCCCAGGAATTCCAGCCTAGTTCGGCAAGGGTGGAAACTGGACTTTTAAAGTCAGTTAACTCTCTTGCCTCGGGAAGATGTTTGTTGAAATGTGTTTCCAAATGTTTAAATACATACACACCTACATACATTATGCACTTAATGTTGCCTCAGATGTTTTAATTCTCTGTATAACACACATACTCATCTATTGCCATGATCAAATAATGGTTACTGATGTATAATATAATGGTTGACATTTTATGATCAGACATTATTTCACATGTGTATTCATGTGACAAACATTTGTAGTATTATGAGCTTGGAAGTTGATCAGTAAGAAATGTTATCCATAAGATGTTTTGATATATACATTCTATAGATAATATTTGAATGTTCGATTATACATGATCACATTGTAATTATCATTTTAGATTTGTGTGTTATGTGTTGGACTAAAACATCATTCCTCTGGTTGTGCAAACTGTAATTGATTCTTTCAATCTCCCTATTTTCAAGGGGACATTGTTATGTGGGCTTACCCTGACAATATTGCAAAGAGGTGATTGGCCAAGCCGTGAGTTGACTACCCATTACATGTAATGTTACAGTTATTAGTACATCATGATCAATGTGCTTCCTTCTATAATTTGTACCTTTGAGACTATTAGAATAACATGTCATACATTTTACTTGAAAACTTGTACTGCATGCTACCAGTAAAGTTAATTTGATTGTAGTGTTTTTTATATTCATATATTATAGAACCTTAAAGTGCATTCTTATTGCACTTAAAATGGTAAGTGAGTAAAGCACATTTGTGCTACTAAATGCCATCAATATACATTATGTGATATTAAGAAAAGGTTGTTAGATTTTAAGCCACTGAGGTTTATATGTAATGGACAATAAGTGTGCTTTATGTGTGGAAGCTATGACCTGTCTGTCCCCAAGTTGGGAGCGAGCCGCGGACTAGTCTATTTCCAGGTGGGGGTGTGACATGCAGCAAGCCCTTGAATCATAAGTCCACTGTCAGGCTGCATGTAGAAGCAAGAGAATCAATCTGGCTTACGCAGTGTGTATATATCCGCAGTGTGTATTTCCCCACTATGTGAATTTCATCATTTGTATGTACAGAAAATGGACGTGAAAATGGACTCTCCCCTGCAAAAGCTGCAGTATATGATGATACTTTGATCTTGTGATTTATTATTTGTACGATTGAAGTAGTTAGTCTCAAATCAGATTGTTGAACAAAAGGACCTTTTTAAGATATGAAAAGTTGATAAAGGTACATGTAATATGATGTATGTAACATGTTTTTGTGGGAAATCAATTCTGAAAGAGGCTGCAGGAAGGACCCTTTTAAAAAATTGATTTGAGGCTCTTTACTTCATTGTTCGAAGCAGATACAACCATTTGATGGTTATGTTTTTTGTCTACATGCTCTACTGTGAAGTGAAAATCAGGCTTTTGTCCTATCATCTTCATCTTTTGTAAGGTATTCATCAGTGTTATCTGAATACGGAGAACATTGGTTGTATCTGCTTTTCTTCATATTTCATGTGTATAGGATAACTAGCATGTCTGTATGCTATGGTTGTTAACTCATGGGTTCTTGCCAGATCTGAATCTGGTTGGATATTTTTGTATTCAAACTGACTTGGTGAAATTCAATGATATGCTTGCTTGACTATTTTAGGCAACAATGACAGGTACCGGGTGAAGTTTGATGACCCGCGGGTATGTAAGAGCTTCCTCCTCGCCTGCTGTCCTCATGATATTCTGGCCAGCACGGTAAGTTCACCATGGTAACAAACCCAAACTCTACCTCCTGCAATTCTCGTCTACTTCCTTTTGAAGGTTGGGTACGTAGTAGGACATAGTTAGCTTGCCTCTCTTTCAGTGTTTGTCTCATGTAGAGATCTAATAATAATGACTCTTTCCAAATTTTGCAGTGTTTGTAGTTAAATGTTAAATGTATATTATACAGAAAAGAAGACATTTACATGTACAATTGGGTCATTCTTTATAAAAGATTGAGGGATAGAGTATAATGCCAGTAAAAGATGTGTATGAAGTTTGATGAAGGTTTTGTTTTGTATAGGTCAGTGGTGAAAGGAGGGCAGTTTTATTGTAGTTCACATTATGACATGTTTTTGCAGAGAATGGATCTGGGTGAGTGCCCCAAGATTCACGACTTGGCTCTCCGTGCTGACTATGAACAGGCTGCCAAGGGAAAGGACTACTACTATGACATCGACGTGAGCATGTTTGATGATTTTATATTTCACTGGACCTGAAAAATCTTTCTTTCTTTTCGGTATTCAGACTTAAAACATTTATGAATAATACGACAAACTGAGAAGTCTTGGCTAAATCTGTTCAAAAGAGATGGATTGTGGTGGCATTTAACTTGTTTTTAGTTGCTGTAGTGTTAAAATGTATGGTTTTCTAGGCAATGGAGCACCTATCAAGCTTCATCAGCGAGGTGGATCGCAAAACTGAACTGGCCAAACGAAGACTGAAGGATACTCAAGAAGAACTGAGCGAGGAAGCCAATCAAAAGGTATATATGGCATTTTAATTGCACATTTTGTTTGGACATGTTTCAGAAACTAATCTAGTTATAACATCTTGTACCTTATTATTATGTGAAGTTTGGCGAAGAACAGATCATGTTTAAGAATATTCATATATTCAGTTGGGCATTATATCTCATCCGCACTGTGACTAAGTGTATTTGCGTTGATTATGTAAGGACATGTTTGAACAGTCATCCATCAAACCATCACATCATCACATAACAGTTGTGGCATTACACAAAAATATTTGTAAGCATTGTTTTGAATAGTTTATGATCTATAACATGTAAGGCAAGGCCTGATTATGATGCGGTACCCTTTTGCAGGCTGAGATGATCCATCAATTGGGGGAGCAGATTGGAACGAAGCTAGCCCAGGCAGAGAACATAGGCAATGAGGGAAAGGTTGAGGAATCTCTCCAACTCATGGAGGAAGTTGAGGAGCTGAAGAAGAAAAAGAGTCAGGCTGAGGTGAGTACAACATTGGTTAAAAATGCTGACAATTCTCCCTGAAATATCTACATCAGACTCAGTCAATTTAAGGCTAGCCAACTTAAATGTTAGGTACAGATATAATATTTTTCAACAAAAATTGGCAGATATTACAAACGGGTCTTGAAGTGGTGCCTTTTGTGATATTCTGATTTTGGGCATTTTTAATTTTCTTGATTTCCATGCAAACTAATTTCACTTAATCCCATAAGGGGGTGGATTTCGTTTCTGGAGCACAACTTAAAAAACGTCCAGTACCTTTCAACAAAACTTGGCAGATATATCAAACAGGTCCTGAAGTGGTGCCTTTTGCTATTTGGGGATTTGGGGCATTTTTAATTTTCTCTATTTCCATGGAAAAAATTTGGACTTAGTCTCTCAAAAGGGGAGGTGTCGTTTCTGTAGCACAACTTGGAAAACTGTGAAAGACTTCACCAGACCTGGTACATGTATTTACCGAGGGCTGAAGTGGTGCATATTGCTATTTAGGAATTTTTCAAAATTTGATTTTTCCTGTATCCATGGAAAAAAGTTAGTCTTAGTTGAAACGAAGGTAGATGTCTTTCTGGAGCAGAACTAAAAACCTATTCAACATTGATCAAGTAATCAAGGGCTGAAGTGGTGCCTTTTGCTATTTAGGAATTTAAAAAAAAAGGTTTGGCAACATGTTTGACTTTGACGCATAGTGGTGTGTTTGTCCAGACCATATCTCTAAAACTCTTTCCTGAAGCTGTGCACATACAAATACCAGGTTGTCAACTGGTGCCTTTTGCTATTTAGGGATATTTGGAATTTATATTTTTATCCCCTGCCCAACGAAATTGGCGGGGGATATAGATATGGGCTCCGTCCGTCCGTCACGCTTCGTTTCCAGAGCATAACTCAGAAACTGTTACATATTTTTTCATGAAACTTGCATGTCTGTCAGGTACATGCTTAACTGGTGCCTTTTGCTATTTAGAATTTTTTTTGTGTTTTTTTATATTTCCTTGGCAACAAGATGGGCTTATGTTCTGTGAGGGTAGGGTTCGTTTCCGGAGCATAACTGATGAACCGTTCAATATGTTTTCATGAAACTTTGCAGGTCTGTCAGGTACATGCTGAACTGGTGCCTTTTGCTATTAAGACATTTTAGAAATTTTTATTTTTTATGTTTCCATGGCATCAAGATCGACTTAGGTTCTGTGAAGGTAGGGTTCATTTCCGGAGCATAACTCATAAACCGTTCAATATTTTTTCATGAAACTTTGCAGGTCTGTCAGGTACATTCTGAACTGGTGCCTTTTACTATTTAGAAATTTTAGAAATTTGTTTTTTTTATTTTTCGAAGGCAACAAGTTGAACTTTTAGAAATTAATGAATTCTTCTTTTAAATGCCAAAAAATTCAACTTGATACCCATTTAACCTGTTTAAGGAATCTTATAAGTCATAATAAAGTTTTTTTGTGTGCCTACATTTTGTTGTTTGAGGTATCTCCTATAGTAGGGGAAACTCTGCATGCCTTCTACCAAGTTGTCAGTATGTGCCTCAATAATGGTTGAGGGTAACTTTCATTATCAAATCCATCATCCCTACTTCTGCATTGATTATGACAGAGATGGGTGTGCGATAAGATGGCATACTTCTCTATGAAACTTTTTACAGTTTTCAGCACATGTTGATGTAAAGACTTTTGTGCTGTAAAGTTTTAACATTCACATTTATAATACTGTCTTGTTTGTTTTTTCACTTTATCAGGGACAGGGGATATAGCCACGTTACATAGTGGCAAACTCTTGTTTCTGTTTCCATGGCAACAAGTTTGATTTTGACTCTGTTCGTGGTGTGTACCTGACATTGAAATACAAAGTTCTGCAACCCCAATTCCATAGTATTGTTTTGATAGCTCAATAACTACTCTTGTATACAGACAGACATATTAGATAGAAATTCTCTCATCAAGTTGGACTTACAGTAACAGTAATATGTTTTGTTCTTTTGAAATTAGGGGGATTTGTCATCTTCTGATGACTCTTGTTTTTGTTGCGTAACATGACCATCCCATGTTTCAGATTGAGTTCCGTAACTCGATGCCTGCCTCCAGCTATCAGCAACAGAAACTGAGGGTATGTGAGGTGTGTGGAGCATACCTTGGTATCCATGACAACGATAGACGTCTTGCAGATCATTTTGGTGGAAAACTTCATCTTGGATTTATTACCATCAGAGAGAAACTGGATGAACTCAAGGTTAGTTGATCATACAAACATAATGACTGTTATTGGCAATACAAATAATATTGAGAAAGACTGAAATTATCCTTTTGCTTTAAGTCCAATGTCCTTAAATTATTTTTGTGTTTATAGCAAATGGTTGCTGACCGCCGGACACAACGTGAGAAGGAGCGGGAAGAAATGAGAAAGAATCGGGAACTACGTGAAGAAGAGGAGAGAAGTCGTCGTCGTCGCACAAGGAGCAGGAGTAGAAGTCGTAGTCGGAGTCGAGAAAAGAGACGTCGCTCCAGGAGTCGCAGCAAGAGGTAATTAAACTGAACAGCATCTTTATTGCAGGATCTTTGTTGCATGTGGTCTCTATATAGCAGGAAATTTGCTGAAGTGATGTTACAATTCAACTCAATACATGAGGAATGTTTGTATATATTTCAGTTGTGCAAGCTTCTGTTTAAGTAAGTTATGTTTTGTTTGTAGATCAAGATCAAGGTCTCGTGACAGACGTTCTAAAAAGAGATCAAGGCGATCTCGATCAAGATCACGCTCCAGGAGGTCAAGGTCAAAATCCAGGTAAGGCTTCATTTTCCTTTCAGTAAGAGGCAAAGTTTTCTTAGGGGTAGGGTAAGGGGTGGTTCATGGGATTCTTTTCTGAAAGATTGTGACAGTTTACTGAAGTGATAGATTTGTTCTTCAGAAAATGATTGATGCAGTAACCCTCATGGTTTTGGTCCAACAGAATTTTAGCAACATGTTCTAGTCATATATACCGACATGGGTACAATGTGTACAACTCAAATATTTTCAATAGTCCACAGGATGTCAAAGGTTTCACTGTAATTTGTGCTAGGCTGTTTTCAGTTGGAGTTGATGTTATGCTGGTATTTAGGTCCTGTTTTATGTTCTTTTGTTACACATTCTTATCTATGCATAGGAGACACAGATCAAGATCACGATCTAGACATTCACGCAGTCGGTCTAGAAGATCCAGGTCCAGAAGAAGATCCAGGTCCAGAAGTAAGTCAAGGAGGTCAAGGTCTCGAAGCAGGTCAAGTCGGAAGCACAGACGAAGGTCTCGTTCCAGGTCAAGGTCTAGGAGCAGGTCAAAGAGGAGTAGAAGTGAAGAGAGGAAAAGACGATCAGCATCTGCTTCTGGGGGCAGTGATAATGATGAGTGAGTTTGTTCATGCTGGTTAAGGAGACTGTAAAGTCTGGGGGTTGACACAAAAATATATTTGAACTGTTATGAGCCACAGTTGCTATGTTGGTTATTTACACAGACATTACTGTACAGATCTAAGCTCTTCGCTGTGTGATATGCATTGCCATACTTTTTCAATTTTGCATTAAGTTTTTGTGGTATCTAATTGATTGGTAACTTTCACACTGACAATTGACTATTGAATTTAGTTATAGTTGAGGTTAGGAAAAGAAAGACACAGTAGAATAATCTGTTTTCAAATCTCTTTATCTTGATTGAAACAGATATTGATATGAGAAAAAGTGCATTGAAGTTGAAATGAAACATCACATGTTATTGATGGGATGTTTTAAGTCCTGATATATCAACTAAAAACTATTGTTATATTATGATACATTAAGGACAGGATTTCAAAGTACATATAGAAATATGAAATATGTTTTAGTTGTTGAAGGTTTGTCAGTTTATTGTTTATCATAAACTTGTATTCTTATGACTATTGATGACATGCAAAACATGTAGTAGCAACGTTGAACAGCAACATATCTTTAAAGTATGGCAATTATTTGTATGGGATGTATGTGATTTGGATCAGTTTCCATACTTTGAAGGTAGAAACTAGAGTGCCCATGTTATTGAATGGAAGTTTGCTGTGTGTCAAGCGATGTCTGTCTCAACTGAAAAACATCCAGTGACAGCATATGGGGCTCAGCAAATAACTGCAGCAAGTTCACAGATGTATATGAAGAATCATGTGTTTTGTGCTTATGTTATTAAGTGGTTGAAATAGATTTCATGATGTAGTGATCTTGTGATTCAGGTGTAGTAAGAAGAAGGAAGATAATGGTTCTGAGGATGAGGCTGACAAGTAGATGTCCAGCATGACTGGACGTCTGGGTGAAGATGCTACATGTCAGCTCGTTCTCAGTGTAAAATGTCAGAATTGACCCAGTCACGAATCTGTCATAATGACCTGCATTTGGGAATACTTGTAAAATGTGTACAAACTGCTTTTATTCATGTGATGTAAATGAACTTTGTATTTTATGATGTGATGTGCAAACTTAGAAAACAGATCGAGGTTTAATGTTTGTTATTTTGAAATGAATGTAACCTATTTCCTCAACCCAATAAAAAGCTAGTAGTTTGTCAATGCAGAAGCCTCACCCTGACTGCATTGTTTTGTCCACTGCAATATCTCCATTGGTCTGTTTTTAATTTGATGTTACCCGTTCCTGGTGGATTATTTTCAAGCTATTAATGATTTCTGGCAGAGTTAATGAAACAGCATTGCTGTCAGTAGGTATTTTGAGCAAAATATTCTGCTTTGTAAATATGCAATTCTTTTGAAATACACTGTATGCATGAGCTTATTGTCTACTCACTTGTGTCACCAAACCTAACTCTTCAGTTTTAGCAGACTTGTAAGGCCATTATTTATGTTTGGACTATTACATTAATTTTTGATTAATTTGATTTTGTTGACAAAACCTTTTTATCTTTGTTGTATTAGATTGTTTTAAGTAGTTGAACTGCCCCTAGTATATCTGGAAAAACCTTCTATCAGAAGCTACCGGTTTTGACTAATCTACCTGGCCTAATTGAATTCTTTTGTACTAAGAATACAGAAGGAGCATAAGTCTTAATGTGGTGTGGTGACTTTAAGTTTGCACTTTTGAAATCAAAACATTTTGAAGTATGAAATATCCTCAAATTACCATGATGCATCAGATGGAGTTGTAATACAATTTGCTTTTTTTATAATCTTGGACTGTAATTCAATTGAATATTTGTAATGTATGTCTAGTGCACAATGGTGCAGAGTATCAATTTCTGCCACATTTAAAGGTCTGTTTCAAGCATTTCAGTGTTCTTATTTGTATGAGGCCAGTCTTGGCCTACAAATTAATTTCTATGGCAATATTGCATTATGATAAGTGACTATTTTAAATAAACCAGGTTTAATTCACTTGTTGGCCTTTTGTTTTATTTAATGTTATGTGAACATGATACAGGTAAGATTTTCTATTTGTATGACCCATCACATCAGTGAATTCTTCATGATGTACAAGGCTGTGTACAAGGTGTAAGACAATGAGAACAGCTCTTGTTGAAACATTAATCAGGCTGAATGAACTGAGTTGATATATTTTAGGGTCTATTGAGATTGATAACTGGTGCTATTTGCAGTTTTACAAGGTGATCTTGAAGTCAAAACTATAGCTTACAAGTCAGTCGAAATGCTTTGAAGCTAGGGAGAGGACTGCAAAATTAGCACCCTCCTTATTAACCCTGTGGGAATCGTGGTTAGAAATTGGTCCTCACAGACGCACATCACAACATGGTGATCCTTCAAGTCCTATATATGAGACTATTGTGCAGAACAGTATGTGCATTATGTTTAAGATGACATTCACACTATTGGTATGTTGTATATGATCTGCTTCCAACCTGTCAGAATTCCAGGTTAGAGTAGGACCTAACCTGGTCAGAAGAGCAGACAAGATGATCAGGTGGTTTAGTTGACAGTTGTCATTGTATCAAGATAGCATGGATTGTCTGGTTTAGACTTTGATATTTACAGGTCACCTTCATAGAGCCGGAATATTGCTGTGTCGAATGGCCTACATGCCAAATAGGAGTGAGTGAATGATTTATGTCGTAGTCAGCAGTATTCTAACAACACAATGGCGTGGTAACCCATATGTATCGGCCAAGCACACAAAGGATTTATAAGCATTGAACAAGGATTCATGTTGTTGGACACTCTTTTGACTCTTGTGCCCTGGATTTTGAACTAATATTTAAATGGACGCCATCCATGCAAGATGTCGTTTCTGGAGATCTTGAAAAAAATACAATATTTCTTCACCAAACGTGGTACATAGATAGGTCTAGTGGTGAACTGGTGCCTTTACATAGTTTGGGATACATACATACATACATACACACATACACACACACACACACATCGTGTCAAAAGTATCTCACCACCAAATTTGAAGTTTAATCATGTGTAATTGCAAGTTCATTTTCAATGTAGATTTTCAAAAGGTGCACCGTTGATAAATCTGCCTTTGGAATGATAGCCACCTTAACTGTCCCACCTTGTGGGGGCATTTAAGCAAGCTGTATGCACACCTAAGGTTTCACTTCTAGAAACATCTTAATGAGGACAAAGTTCATGCGTCTTTACTGCTATTAATTTTGAATGAAAGTTCTACCAATTTGAAAGTCTGTCTTTGCAATGATTTAAACTGAAATGCCTAAGCATACATACTATCCTAGAAAATCACAGATAGGAAATCATTGACATGCACCAAAATGGCATGTTATGTCGGGTTATTGCCACAATGTTGAACATTAATCATTAGAAAACACATTGATTGGACACATGAGAGATCGGGACATCCACAGTTCAGGGGACATTAAATGGCCCAAGATACCATATTGGACGGTTGGTTTTGTTGTGCCTCATTTTGATAACAATGCACGTCACACCTCTTCATAGAAGACAAAACCTGACCATCTCCAGGACAACGCCATTGAGACTGCCTTGGTCTTCTCCAAGAATAGACGTTAGGGCTGGGACGAGCCCAAATTTACTACCCAGGTACCCACCCACCTTTTGCCCAACCCTACCGGGTACCCACTGTAGGTCTCAAGAGATACAAAATGTCCGATTGTGATTTTATTTTTTTTACCACAGCACTTGCAAAACGTATTTAGATACATGTATTAAACGATCTGGTCATACATACACTGAAGGAATGGGTGCATAAGTGACTTGTAGTGTAACCATAGAGTTCTAGATAATTCTTTTCAATAAACTATATATGTCACATGACTAACCTCGGGTCCAGGTAGTCCTGTGGGTACCCGGGTCCAACTCGGTACCCACCCGACCCAGGTACCTGAGTTACCCATTCCAGATCTAATAGAAGTGAATCCAATCGAGCATCTATGGGATCAGTTAAGATGTAGGGTTAGAGTCAGGAACCCCCAGTACAGAATCTCCAAGTATTGCCCCAGGCATTGCATCAGGAATGGCAACTCATCCCTTAGTTGAGGATCAGGTGTCTTGATCCGTGTACAGGGTGGCTACACCAGATATGGACTTACACTGTTGATAATATAACTGACATGGGTACAATGTTATGGTTGATCTGTCCATCTCATTCAAGACTGTTACAATACTTATACTGCCTCTGTTTATACATCCCCAATGTATTACACTCCTTGTAGTCGCTTGAAGCTGCTTTTGTGCTTTGCAAATGCTCATTTTTCCTATTATTAATCAAATTAACATCTCAGTTGACAATAAGTAACACTTTTGATTGCTTTTGTTTCGCCTTATTGCGTCTCCTTATCCATCTCTTTCTGATTATCAAAAATTATTTCAAAATTATCCCCAGAGATCCACATCCTTCTGCCAACTATGATGGAATGCCTGGATCCCACAGGTGTAGGCTTCCTTGTTGTGGTGTATAAACCCCTCCACAGCAGAAATTACATCATTTGCAGAAAGCTTGCCAGGCAATGCTTTCATCAAGTTGAGGAAGATGTGATAATCTGACTGTGCAAAATCTGGTGATTACGGTAGATGTTCAAGGAGTACATTCTAAGCCACATTGCAGCCATTGTGACCACAGACCTGTGCACATGTATACTGTGTAGGTGGTGTGACACATCTTAAGATAGCTTTCCACGTTTAGCCTTGATATTCTCATGCAGTTGTCTAAGCACATAAGTATAATATTGGCCATTAATGGTCAGACTCTTCAGGAGGTAGTCCACTAGTTAGATTCTATTGGAATCCAAGAAAACTAAAGCTGCCACCTTGGCAGAATAGTGAGTGAGTTGGGTTTAACCCCTCTATTATCAGTATTCCAGTTATATCACAGCGTGTCAGCTTAATGTGATGCAGGTCTCAGACGTTTACCACTTCGGTGAAACCCACGAGCACGGGTATGGTGCTGACAAACCTAGAAACATAATTTGGGCGAACCCGGATTCAAACCCACAATCATAGGTTTCTGATGTGCCCAAGGGACGCAACTCTGCACAGCGAATCGCGGCGCCTTAGACGACTGGGCCACCCGTGCCCCCTGGCAGAATAGAACAAAGCTGATGGAACAGACTGCCTGCTACATGGGAGACATCAGATCTTTACATTGCTTTAACTGTTTTGTCTCTGGCTGATTGTGGTGAACCCAAGACTCAGTCATAGTTACAAATTGCTCAACAATATCAGCTGGGTCTGCTTCAAAACGACTAAGTTCTGATGAAAGATGATGAACCAGGAGCATTTCTGGTCAAGATTCAGAAGCCTTGGATCGGAACCTAGAGTACTTAAAGCTCTGTCATGCCGAGTTCATTCTACAGAATGATCTCAACTCTAACAGCGGTAAAGGAAGGAGTATCATCACCTAAACACCAAGTCGGCATGGATGGATGTTGGAGTTAACCCTTTCTGTTGGAGATGATGATGACAGCTTCATAGCCATTTTTTTGCAGAAATATGGTGCCAGGTTGGATATATGGTTCAAATGCTACCTGTAAGCTTGGAAAGTATTGTACTTAATGCGTGAGTGAGTTTAATTGAAGTCACATTGGCAATATTTCAGCCATAATGTGACTTGAACAAGGTATACAATATTCATTAACACTGTCGACGAAGGACAGTATAATAACTAGCAATATATCACAGAGACTTAAAACTAGTTGTAAAACATTAAAAAATATCTAATTATTGGGGTATGACACGATATAAAAATGGGGCTACAGATTGCCAGCAACAAGGTTAAATTCACCATACTAGGGACCAAGGGGACTTAAGGTACCTCTGCTACATGCATGGTTCCCTAGCAGGATTTACACCTTTCACAAGGTTACTGGCGATGTTGCACGTTTACCCAGAGGTTAAAACAAACAAATATTCTACGACTAAAAAACTGGTAGATATCAATATACTTTGTAAGAGGTGGTTTTACACACCCTCTCAGGGGGACAATAATTTTACGCTACTTAATGCATGCAATTTGAAAAGGGTGTATGACACATCCTTCAAATTAGGCTCAGAACGATTCAGCCAGCCCAACCCCACCCCCGTACATTGTATGAAAATAATACCATCATTCAGAGATGTATATCAAATAGTTTTATTAAATTACATCAATGAATGTAATCTGTATTTACAAACAACACTATCTCAGCTCATGGTTGTGTCTCCATGTTCTATACTTTGAAAAGTCTCGGACACACACTAATATGATCCGTGTTATTCATGACCATCATAAAATTTGGACATGAAGTCTGTTGGCCTAGGTTCCTCAGTGTCCCCGAAGTATTTCATAACATGAGTCCGCTGCCTCCATACTTCTGTGGTTTCTACTAGATCCATTTGCCCCTACAAAAGAAGCATTATATTAAGTGACTGTGAGGTAGTCACTTTCTTATAGACACATTAAGACATGAATGAATAGCTGAACAATGTGGATTTTCTTTAAGTCTTTAATTAAGTTTCTCAGGTGACAGTCCATGTTTCAGACCTTAAGACAAGTGCTCAGTGAAGATATGTGAAAAAAGTAAAGACATCATACCAAGAAATATGTTCACACAAACCGTTGATCCAGATAGTTAATAGGCCAAGTACTCCTGCATTAGGCGACAATGCTTGTCATAAGGTGACTAACGGGATCAGGTGGTCAGGCTCGCTGACTTGGTTGATGCATGTTATCGATCCCAATTGCGTGGTTTGATGCTCATGATATTAATCACTGGATTGTCTGGTCCAGACTCGATTATTTACAGACTGCCGTCATATAGCTGGAATATTGCTGAGTGCAACATTAAACAACAAACCGACCAACCAACTCATGCATTTGGGAACCATCTCATACATCTACATGACTAGTGCACTACTGCAAAAGAACCGATGGACTTCACGAATGACGGAACTTATTACTGTTATGTAGTACAGTCATCAGTATCAGGGGCCAGTGGTTGATAACTTGAGCAACAATCTATGGTCACATATCACCCAATCCTTAATTAAGTCATGTCTTGCCATAAGCAGGAGTTACTGTGGACCTATTCTACCACATAATTGGAACGGATCAATGTTGCACAAGCAATGTTACTACTAACAGGTAAAACTATGTGCGCAAAGAACAACTCACTTTGATGACAAGCATATCAATTACTCTGACATCATTGACATGTCTATTCCTGAGAAATTCTTCCTTCAGCTTTTCCCTCCCTTGAGCCACACTCACTGGGATGTCAAACTGTTTCACTGAAAGAAATTAGAATGAGATGTTACAAAAACATGATATTAAAAGATAAAGAAGCAACTTAGGTTAAAATATGCACTGCAATATCAAATACAATCCAGTCAATGGTTTACATAAAAAAACTATCTAAAATAATTTTGAAAAACAACTACCGGTAGTCCCTCAAGATTTTTACAAGTCTCAGACCAGTGACTACCTCTAACCCTGATTCAATTATAATAGTTTTAGAAAATTATCCTTAATGTCAAAAACGGGCAATCAAGAACTGAATTTATCCGCAAAACATGAGATGTGAGATGCCGTATGTATATTCAAACTATCCTGCAAAATATTAATACAACATCAGTTTGAATAATAGTGAGTGAGTGTGGTTTTACGCTGTTTTTAGCCATAATTATTTCAGAAACATCACGGCAAGGGAGCAACAGAAATAAGCTTCACTCATTGTACCCATGTCGGGCAAACACATTAACCACTAGACTACCCCACCGCCTCTTGAATATCAGCACCATTAATCAAAATAAATATAAATTTTGGACAGCTCAATATTTTCAAAATCTCACTTTGAATGAAGTTGTATGGGTTGGTCAGTTTAGTGAGACAAAAAAAATCACAGGTGGTGAATTCTATATATCATTTCCACCTTAAAGTCCTCTATTTGGAAACAATTACACCAAAATTGTTGAAATCTTACAATAAATTATGCGTAGAGATAAATTTATTTGTTGGCAATGTGAAACAATACCCTGTCATACCCATAACTATTGTCATTCGAACCAAACTGCTCTCTTACTTGTGGAATATCAAGTGGGTGGATACATCACAACAGTACATGGTAGTAGGGTTCACTTTCTATGAAAATCAGGTGCAATAACCTGGGACTAAACGTTAGTCCAGGTGTGTATGTGCTGGAGCTTGGCTGCTTTACACATATCTCAAAACAGTGGATAGTTTAAATTTCTCAGTGTGATTTCAGACAATTAATTTGTTGCAACATTTAGGCATGCTTAAAGTGTGAGTCGATGTATATCAGCTCAGCATCATTTGTCAAGAAATTAGTCATGGACATATTATCTACAGACAGTCAACTTCAGCTACGATACCATCAATCTGTAACCATCTTGACCCTTGTAATAGCAACAATGGCAATACTGTATCTACCCTTTCATCCATAATAACATTGTTTCCAACATCAACATGGTCAAAGGAATCCCTTATGCACCAGTGAAAAAACTGCCATTTCCGATTATCTCCTTTGCATACTGATGTCATAAGGTATGAAAAACATGTTTCATGGCAAAGGCTTATGTCATGGGAAAATGCTTTAGTAAAAGATAAATACTACATTACTAGGTCCAGTCCATACATATTTTGACTCATTTGACCTTCCTCGTAGTTATCTCCCTTGAATCAGTTTGCTACTTTAAGGCAATGGCAATAGCTACCTTCTTTAACTGGTATGTCCATATGTAGTGAATATTCGAGTAGTGACCTGTATTGAAAGTCAGACTAGTTCTTAGCAACGTATCATTCAATAATGAACAGGCGCAGGAACACAGATCTTGTTTTGGTCTTGAAGACGTTGGATGAAGAACCAAATCATGGCATCGTATATCAAGAAGCAAGGTGCCACTACTTACTAATGGCCGGGACTTGTCTGTACCATGCTTTGTACAGGTTAAGCACTCTCCTCTTAGCTTCTGTACGATCTGTTGATAATATAGGCTTCACTTGTTTCACCCCCTGCTGAACTGCCCGGGCCGCCATTTTGTAGGGGAGAGGCGAAAGTGGAACTGGGATCCGAAATGGGAATATACCAGCACAAGCTAAAACGAAATATGATAATATATATTGGCTGCTCAAATTTATCACTATGTACCACTTGTGATGCTGTTTGAATTAAATTTTTACCAATGAGATGTATCACTAATGCAAATATGCATACATTTAAAAATATGATTGCCGCTAACGATCTTGAGTATGAAATCATAATGCTTGTTTATTGCAAGTCAAAATAGTGTACACATTTTGACAGTAAAGAAATATACACACTATAAAAAAAGCAATGCTCAGGTGAAATATTTACTTTGTGTTGCTAGTCAAAATAGTGTAAACGAAGATCGCGCAATTACCAAGCAAGTGACTTATCAATATTTCGTCACCATTATCGATGCTACCCACAAAGATACCTACATTTCCTTATTATTTCCAAAACTGTATTTCATTTTGTCGATAGATGTGACCATACGCCCTTATACTATCATTAAAAGTGACAAATGCGCTTACGAATTGTTTCTTACGTTTCTTCTATATCATCAGGGTACTCACGGGAAAAAACAATAACAAAGGCAACAACCAGTCCCGGGGAATTGCTTTAGATCAGTGCCCCTTTAAGAAAGAATTTTAAGAAAGTATTTGTTAAAATGTAATTATATTGTGCATATTTCCACTACCATACTTGTAAATTGTTATTTGTATAGGGGCCTATGGCCTTCATATTGAATAAAGTATTGACTGATAAATTAATCCATTTAAAAAATAAACAACTCCAAAGAAATACCAGCAGTTAACTAATTCCCGTCCATTGGTTTCCTGCGTTTATTGAGGTGAAGTCACGCATTTCTAAATCAATCATGAAATACTAAAACCTTGAAATATTACATTGTATAATATAACAACAACAACAACAACCCCAACCCCAAACGGACGTGTGTTTCTGTACAGGAAATGCAGTGAAGTTCAACAATAGCAATATTCCAGCTATATGACGGCGGTCTGTAAATAATCGAGTCTGGACTAGACAATCCAGTGATTGACATCATGAACATCGATCCCTGCAATCTGGATCAATGACATGCATACACCAAGACAGCGAGCATGACCACCCGATCCCGTTAGTCGCCTCTTACGACAAGCATAGTCGCTTTTTACGGCAAGGTTGTAACCTTGTATTCATACTGTATTGGTTGTAACCTTGTATTCATGCTGTATTGGTTGTAACCTTGCATTCATACTGTATTGGTTGTAACCTTGTATTCATACTGTATTGGTTGTAGCCCTGTATTCATACTGTATTGGTTGTAACCCTGTATTCATACTGTATTGGTTGTAACCTTGTATTCATACTGTATTGGTTGTAACCTTGTATTCATACTGTATTGGTTGTAGCCCTGTATTCATACTGTATTGGTTGTAACCCTGTATTCATACTGCATTGGTTGTAACCTTGTATTCATACTGTATTGGTTGTAACCTTGTATTCATACAGCATTGGTTTTAACCTTGTCTTCATACAGCATTGGTTGTAACCTTGTATTCATACTGCATTGGTTGTAACCCTGTATTCATACTGCATTGGTTGTAACCCTGTATTCATACTGCATTGGTTGTAACCTTGTATTCATACAGCATTGGTTGTAACCTTGTCTTCATACAGCATTGGTTGTAACCTTGTATTCATACTGTATTGGTTGTAGCCCTGTATTCATAATGCATTGGTTGTAACCCTGTATTCATACTGAATTGGTTGTAACCTTGTATTCATACTGTATTGGTTTAACCAGTTAGCCTAGTATTGACACTGAAGGGTTGTTACCGTGATGCCTCGTCTGTCAGTTGGGCGCGGAAGTTGTTGATATCAGAACTTTGACGACCTTGTAAATCACCAATCAATCAGCAAGGGCCTACCTCTCAGCCTGTGGTCAGCATTCAATCATAGCTGTCATATCTTAGCGTAATAGTCAAAACAAACACACATGGCTGGATTCATATTACATGGATGTTCATATTTAAAGGTATGTTTTCTCAGTGAAATCAAGTTGAAGTTATATGCCTCAACTCTTCCTGTAGGCAGTTGTCATATATACGTCTGTATATATCAGTAAAGTTTTCGTGTGTTGAGATTCTGAGAATTTAAAGAAACAACAGTTCTTATGGTGAGGATTTCTCCCCCTGACTACTGAAATAAGTATCATCCGCCGATGATAATTTTGTCATCTCGTTTCAACACTCCCACGCCAAATCCTGTATATGTATCATAAGAGTAGGAAATAGTCGTGGCGCGTGGTGACACGTGGTATTTTGTATAGAGCACTCAAGTCACGATCAGGTCACCGTGTTCAGCAGCTTGGGTCCTGAGAGTTTCAAGGGCTTCGACCCTTACCTACACGGAAGCACATATAACTTACATTTGGTGTCTCCTTGGGCTGGTGGACCCGTGAAGATCCGGGGTAGAATAGGTCTTCAGCAACCCATGCTTGACGTATAAAAGGTGACTATGCTTGTCGTAAAAGGCGACTAACGGGATCGGGTGGTCAGGCTCGCTCATTTGGTTGATGCATATCATCGATCCCAATTGCGTGGATCGATGCTCATGACATTTATCACTGGATTGTCTGGTCCAGACTCGATTATTTACAGGCCGCCGTCATATAGCTGGAATATTGCTGAGTGCGGCGTTAAACAACAAACCAACCAACCAAACAACCAACCTTGGACTGGTGACTTTGTTTGAAATATGCCACTGTTAACCCAGCAGTGAATGGGTACCCGGTAGCATGAGATGTATTTCCAAGCATTTAGTACACAACTTTCTTTTCAGAAATCTTTTATCGCCTCGCAGGCAGTTTGGGTTGTATACTCCACATGAAGCTGAGAATGAAACCTCGAGTGTACGCTTATGGATTGACTTATATTATTGGCAAATATTATTTCAGCGCTTCCAGCATGCATACACAGCCTATGGAGTTATGAGCGAACTATTATTATTAAATAGTCGAATTCAATACAGGTGACTTCACCTTATCAAATTCAACTCAACTTGCATTTGGAGTTTCGACTCTATACCTTTATTACCGCCATCATGCATCTTGAATATTCCCGAGTGCGGCGTTAGACAACAAACCAACAACACTATTTGAATCTCTCATTATATGTATGGGGATTCCATTTAAATAGAACATTTAACTCAACATATAATATTTTCTTCCATTGAACCAATGAAGGGCAGTGATAGCCTATCGTTTACACGGCAGGCCAGAATTCGATTTTCCACATGAAGCCCTTTTCTGGGGCCCCCGTCGTGATTTGCTGGAATATTGCAAAAAAAGCGCGGCGTAAAACCTCACTCACTCACCTACCCAACCCAATAAATAAGCCTACGCGCACACATACACTCCTTTCCACGAGAGAAGTCATGCTTAGATGAGGGTTGACCGGTGAGCCCTAAGAGACAGGAAGTTAGTGTTATAAAATTAACGTGCATTTACTTGAAATATAAGAAAAGTAGTCTAACGCCGTTCCGCCAGTCCGGGTGTCCCTGAAACATAAACAGTAAATATATGTTTGATTGTGTATTTTGATGTGTATGTGTGAACTGTGTGGTAATGTGGAATATGTACAAGTAGGTAAACAGGTGATAGGTAATAAACAACGAATAAAATAACATTAAGACGGAACGCATATCTGTTAGATATCTGACTAACTTGTTTTCTGCAAGAGATGGCAAGGGTAAACACCTTTGGTCATTTTAGTCCGAAGCTCCTTAATTCCGACAAGATAAGTGGTTTATGCCAAATAGCTAGATCTGGAAAACAACAAGTCACTCTGGATTTTCACTGGTCTCGGACTAACGGACTACCGAAACTGGCAGTGTAAAAAAAACCCATAGATGTATATTACTACAAGGAAACGAAAAGACTTGGTTAAAAATTATGTATAGTGGTATTCAACTTTTCTTCCCCCGTTACCTCCCTTAGAACACCAAGACAGTCCGGAAAGATCAACAGAGTAGGAGCGGAGCAGTACAGGGTAAACAAATTGATTTTTCTTGCAAGTTTTTGTTTAAATACTTCATTATTTAGAGTTTCTTATTGACTCTCAGTTGTCTGGGTGTGGTATAACACTTATAGCTATTTGATACCTTTCAATGACTTCGTAAGCTGTTGTACGTGACTGTCCGATCTCCTATAGCATAACGTGTTCTGTATGTGAGTCACGATGTGTCGCATTCCTGCAAAATTGGAATCCATTTTTCAAATGAGTGGCCTGTATTCAGCAAAGTGTTTCTATGTGGCCATGTCTTAGCTGGGTATGTAATGGCATAGATCTTGAATTTGTATATTATGCCTACATTATATAACATCAGTGTTTTCTAAGTCATCTATATAGGAAAACGTTATTGGTCAGTAAACTTAAATTATATACCCCTATATATAAGTTTAGGGGGTATATATTTTTATTTACTGACCAATAACGAGTTCCTGTGCATATAGTATAGGCCTATATTAAAATTTAAAGGAACAATTCCCAACATGCTAGTACAAATTCAAGGTAGTCATGATATAGGCCTAGTTATGATGTTATTGTATAAAATGTAAACTTTATTAAAACATTACATGTATGTTATCTCAATGAATGAAGTATTAATTGATTGGTAAAATCCATGGCCTTATAAAGTGTGAACGTAAAGCTCCTCTTCTTATTTACATCTGATTCGCTGCTCTACTCTTGATTATGTTTGACTGTAAGATGGGGAATAACATTTATTATTATTTCATTTTATGTTAGGAGCCTATAATTATTGTTTTGTATGGAGAATTCTTTGAACATGGATGTTGTCAAATATACTACTGGATTTTGTTTGTGTTTCTTAGTTTTCAGCCTGACAACACAATGGCCCTGTTTTAAGTTATTGGTGTTTTCTGTCAAACTGACACATTCTCTCTGTGTAATTTGCATATTCAGAAATAAACAGGATTAGGTAAGGGTTAGGGTATTTGGTGACCTAAAACTAAATGTTTTACAAATACAAATATAGTCCTGTCTTTACACAAATTTATAGAAGACAGATTAAGCAGTTAGTTTATTACGTGTAGTATTATTGTTTCCAAATTGTAATTACTGTATTTGATTTAATAAGCGCCCACAGCGATATTTGCTAATATATTGGCTAGTGAACAATCCGAATTAGCACCCCTTCCGATTGATCAGTGTACACAAGACTTATTTATTCGTGTATAATATGCACGCGTGTTATATGCACCCTTAATTATGGGAAATTAAATTCTGGAAAATATATCTGTCATGTATAATACGCACAGATTCTTCTTTTGTATCATTTGTCAGCATAAACCACAAAATTTACAATCTTTTAACGCTGTTTTTTTTCTCACCAGAATTATATTCTAATAAGATCCCCCTGTTTCTAATTTTGAGAGCGCCCTGGGCGCTTATTACGTCCAATATGGTAATCAATAATGTCAAATCTATATTTAAACACTAAACAGTACAATATTTGCATATGTATGGGATGTTCAGTATTTTATCTTTCGAGTGCGTTGTAAATTGTTCATTATTATTATGTAATAATATGTTTAACTTCACATAGTGAGAAGATAGCAATAAGTGTTGCACTTGTGCCCAATCCCATTGTCTTTTTGGACAACAAAATATGTGGAAAGAAAACTAACCCACAGTTCATTGATATGAAGCAAAGAGTCTGTCTATGCAACATGGTGCAAACTATTTACTGCCAATACTTCAACAACAGAGAGAACTAAAATGTGCTTGATATTGTCATCATTGTCACTACAAGATGTTGCCACCATAGATCTAGTAGAAGTATTCTTTTGTGTGATGCTTACGTGATTATGGTCATAATGGGAGTGAGTGAGTATGGTTTTACGCCGCTTTTAGCAATATTCCAGCAATATCACGGCGGGAGACACCAGAAATGGTCTTCACACGCTGTACTCATGTCGGGATTGAACCCGGGTCTTTGGCATGATGAGCGAACGCTTTAACCACTAGGCTACCCGACCGCCCTTTGTGGTCATAATGGATTGTGTTGAATGATGTTGTGACATTAAAAGGTTTACTGCTTTGACAGTATATTTCCACTAGCAGTAGATTTTCATCCGTGCTGTATATATCTTTGGGAAAAACTAGTGCTGTGTGCAATGTCCTGCCTGTTACACTGTACCATCACTGAGTTATAACAATAATAACAATTTGAGTCACAGTTGTGATATTCTTTGTTTAGGATGAGGAAGGAAATGGTGCGGTGTGCCACTTATTAGTGATTGTGGTAGTCATGTTTAGGTATGACAGAGTGGGAATTGTAACTTTTATCTCAAGAATTACCTAGACCATTCACAATGAAATTCTAGTCTTGTTAATGTGATGCTTAGCTCTGGACTAGTCTTTTGTACAGATCCCAGTGTTTATATTTGATAACCCCCCTACCTCGCTCATTTAACCATATACATAACTTTATTTCAGGGACAAGATGTTCGTCTAGTTTCGAGCCAGCAGACTTATGTTACTTTTGGACCCTGAATTTACATTTGTTATATACTTGAGTGTGAAAGGCAGAGTTTTCTGAATTTGAGAAAAGTGATATTTTCATTGCAGTGAACATAACAGTTGATATTTCACTGCAGTGAACATAACACTTATTGTCAACTATTGTCAAATAAGAGTTACGTCCCCTCAAATTGTCTCCCTTTATTGTTAGTGTTTGGCCCGTACACAAACTGTTGACGTCCTTTTTACTTTAGTTCCATATTGACAAGGCAAAATAATGACAGATGGTCATTTATGAAGTTAATATCTCTTCTTGCCATTTCATTATAAACTGTAAGTTTCTCATTTAACCTGTCAATCGAGATTGCTCGTTTCGCAAAACGCTTTTTTTGTTACTTGACCTGTGTGTATTCTTTTGCTTCCAACAGCGGTCTCGTAGTTTTAAAGAATATTTTTTGTTAAAGTTGATTTTGTATTTAATCATATCAAAATGTGTGATAGAAACATTTCATGACCCTAAATACTTTTTCATGTTTTTGATCCTTTTGGTTATATTTTTTAAGATTTTGCAAACACGATGCTACTTTTTAAGTCACAAATACAAGGGGTCGTGATCTGTCCCTGTGTGTTATGTAGGGAGAATTTAGGTTTCAAGGTTTTACATTTGTAATGAAATAATGTAATTTTCCGGTAGATATAATATTTCCTTTTATTCCGTCCTGAGACATTTTTACAAATTTTACAAACATTATTCAAAATATGAAAAGACTACTTTGTGCTACTGTAATGAGGCCTGACCACTGACCAGGAACAACATTTGACACAAGCCTAAGTATGTTTGTGTTCCGAGAATTTCATTTAGATGCTCAAGGAGAGTCCTTACTCAGTACATTACCACTTTCTGTTTGTATAGAGTTTTCTTGGTTAACTTTGAAATGAGAAGTGCAGTTTGTTGCAATAGATCATAATGAGGAAGTATAATCAAGTGTTCCTGCATTGTACAGGACAACCCAGCTACGTTCTCACTGTACATACATAGCAGCATTCTGTGAATTCCACTTTGTTAATTTTTTCCCAAAGTTGCCAGTTCCTACATTGTACAGCATTTGTTTTGTCTTGACTACCAATATTACAGCATGTCACATGTATAGTCTTTTGTAGTTATTAAAATGTATATGTATATGATATACAAGGTACACCAATCTGCAAAATACTTGTATACCTTGTCTTTTTGCGACATTTCTGCAGACTTTGGGGTACATATGGTAACTATAGTCAGAGCTCCAGATAAGCTTTTGGTGTTGTGGGTATTTTACCCATGGATTTTAAAATCATTGGGTATCAGTAATTCTATCAGCGTATTCAAATTTCTGTTACCCACTAGTTTTTACACATGTGGGTATTTAAGTTAAATATTTAAAAACACTATTCATCTAGTCCCTGCAAACTGGTGTTGTGTGGGTTCGAGAGCTTTATAGGACTCAAAAATACCACGATACTTCCACAAGAAAGTGTGATGGCAAATGATCATGATGTAACTGTCATCGTGGAGTTTGGCAAGGTTGACGGAATGCCCGTAGATAATTTCACAATAAGTTGCTGATTTGCTAATCGAATACGCAGGGTTACTTCACAATATTTTGATGATACGCACAAGTTTTATTTTTGTAGCGTATCTGTAATGTTTGTTGCGTATTTGATACGCTTGGATTATATTTTACTGCGTATTTCTGCATTTCTGATGCGTATTTCACGCAGATACGCAGCTTATCTGGAGCTCTGTATAGTGTTCTGTAATGTTTACTCTGTTGCCTGGCATTAAGGAAGTTCAAAGGCAGTAAAATACGTGAACCAACAACAGTTCACTGATTGGTATGCGGAGAAGGTATCAACAAGCTTGACACGAGTGCGTAGAACTCTTGACCCCAGCGTTGATAACTCACCAGATGCCCATAGTGTAATTCCTATTCTTTGAATGACATTGTCATATACTTGCTACAAATGCTTCTCAATAAACCGTATTTGTGTTTATATTCAAGTTGGTATTTCCGCCATCCAAAGTGTGTAGCGAGGCACGTCTTATTGTTGATATTCATTTGGAGACATAAATGCGAAGTTGATTAATGCGAGCAAAGACCACTCGCATTTTTCACATTTATTTCACCCTTGCGTTAATTTAAAGATTTACAGTATGTGGGCTATAAATTGCAGTTTGTACTTGATATTACTGCATTGTCTACACTGACTGGGTAATGTCTCAGGTGTATTCAGTAGGAATGGTTTAAAGGCACAATGTGTATTATTAACACAAGATGAATATTGAGCCAGAAATTGTCTCAGGTGTATTCAGTAGGAATGGTTTAAGGCACAATGTGTATTATTAATACAAGATGAATATTGAGCTGGGTAATGTTTCAGGTGTATTCAGCAGGACTGGTTTAAAGTCAAGATGTGTCAGCGGATTGATGAGTTGGAGAAACTCAGGTATGTAACCATGGTGACATTTAAAAAAAAAGAGATAAATTTCCACTCTAAAAATTACGTTGTTGCAAGGTGTTTTATCTAAAAGCAGAGCTCCAGATAAGCTTTTGGTGTTGTGGGTATTTTACCCATGCATTTTAAAATCACTGCGTATCAGCTATTCTATCTGGGTATTCAAATTTCTGTTACCCACTAGTTTTTACACATGTGGGTATTTAAGTTAAATATTTAAAAACACTATTCATCTAGTCCCTGCAAACTGGTGTTGTGTGGGTTCAAGAGCTTTATAGGACTCAAAAATACCACGATACTTCCACAAGAAAGTGTGATGGCAAATGATCATGATGTAACTGTCATCGTGGAGTTTGGCAAGGTTGACGGAATGCCCGTTTATAATTTCAAATTAAGTTGCTGATTTGCCAATCGAATACGCAGGGTTACTTCACAATATTTTGAATATACGCACAAGTTTTATTTTTGTAGCGTATCTGTAATGTTTGTTGCATATTTGATACGCTTGGATATTATTTTACTGTGTATTTCTGCATTTCTGATGCGTATTTTACGCAGATACGCAGCTTATCTTGATCTCTGTAAAAGCAAACTCAGGCTCAGAGTTTTAAATAAAAAAATATCTGGTTTCGTAGCTGAAGCCTAAAAAATATCCAATCTTGGTACAAAATCCCAGGCACTCCCAGAATATCAAATGATCAGTCCCTAATCTCACTGGTGTTTAAAGGTGAAAGGTTTATATTATGATTTTGTGATTGAAGAGTTATCAAATTACTTAATGTTAACAAAAAACATCTCTTCCTATGTTAAGATTAGGGTCAGGTATTTTGTTTATTTATCTTCTTCGGCCCAGTTGCATCATGAGTCAATATTGACTGCAGCTGTGAAACGTAACACAGTCATTGTCTTTGTGTTGAAACATGCAGCAAAACTTGGCACAAGGTTAACATTGTCCAAGACATAGAGGTTATCACGTGAGTCTATTTTGGGATGGTAAATATCCTAAAATAGGAATAAACATTGTATTTAGCGAGCCTTGGCAAACAGATTTTCATCCTGTTAAAGTACTCTGCAGGTTGCCAATGTTCAGTTTATAGACAAAAATATGTGTTAAATGTAGCGTTGTAATCATTATGTGGTAATGTATTTGTCTCTGGACACAGACACTGCTTAGTGGAATATTGAAAGTCATATGATGAGTAAACTAAAATTGCCTCAGATCATGCATCTTCCCAAGGCAAGAGAGATAACTGATTTTAAAAGTCCAGTTTCCAACCTTGCCGAACTAGGCTGGTATTACGGAATTACATTTTGGCTGGACTAATGAGTCTATGCATAGTCCAATCAAAATCATGCAATGAAATCAAAATCCGAATCATAAACTGTCATGCAGATTTCGGTCGATTGCTGGATTTGCAAAGCATGTGAACCGCCAACTTTTTGTCGACAGATATTTTCTAAATCTTTTCATGTTTTTAATCAAGGTGCTCACATGATTTGATGCACTTCGCGATGTAAGACCCGTTTTATCACAATATAGATCTTGATTAGCGATCAGATCGTCTTAACTGGGCGCCTCCATTTTGTTTGACGCAAATGCAAGTGATACGAGAGGTGGAATCTGATTGTCCATAGGAGAGGCATAGAAGGGACATAACTTGTAACAGCCACAGGTGATGCTATGATCGAGCCCGTGAATTCCAGCCTAGTTCGGCAAGGGTGGAAACCGCACTTTTATAGTCCGTTAACTCCCTTGATTCGTGAAGATGGAGATCATGTTGTTTTGTTTTAGATTTCTGTGTTAGAGCCAGTTTGTCTGTTGTGCAGTCATTTGTTAATTGCTCACTGCATTTAATGGATTTGAGAAACAACCCTTGTATCGGCCTAGGTCAGCTTCTACTGTGTGTTCAACAGTAGCGTTATGACCTGAAGTCACTATGCGGCCACAGTGTGCTGTTGAGCGTTGCATGCAAGAATCCTGAGTTCGAATCCCAGATTCGACCTGATTATGATTCTTGGTTTGTCAATTACTCCAAACTGGTAAAATGTCTTAAGAGTCAGACCTACTTAGTCAGTGTTATAAATTGGCACTAGTCCTATAGTCCTTGCCAAACTGCCCAATAGTTAAGGTATCATGAGGACTAGTAGAAATTTGCCATTTGTAAGAGTTTTGCTATATGTTATCATTATAAGGACAAGTGGACTAAAAATGTTAGTTTCTCTTTGCTTAGGCTTGGATTTTCCTCCCAAAGTAGGCACAGTGACATGTATCTGAACACACTATAACAACGACCCATTGGCTTTGCTTTTTAATTTGAAACACTGTTATGTCTGTGTTGAAGCTGGTTCCATCCCAACTTGAATCGTCACACCGCTGAAAGTATGCTGATGCAGAATGCAGATAATGGCATCTACCTGCTTCGTGCCAGCTCCAAAGTTGGGGAGTATGCCATTTCCGTCAGGTAGGAACATTATTACCATGGTTACCATATCTATTGCTGTGTGTGAATGTTAACTGTTGGACATTGTTGCAGTAACTTGTACAGTATTGTGTGTTGTCTGACTGGTAATTTAATGGGATTCAGGGGGTTAAAAATCCCTTCTTTCTTCTATTAGAGAGCCAATGGAATGGTTAAAATCATTCACACATATTAGAATAAGTTACTTTTGTCTGAAGGGCACACTAAGAAATCAACTATGTTTGTCAGGCTCGCTGACTTGGTTGATGCATGTCATCGTATCCCAATTCCGTGGATTGACGCTCATGATGTCAATCACTGGAATGTCTGGTCCAGACTCGATTATTTACAGACCGCTGTCATATAGCTGGAATATTGCTGAGTGTGGCTTTAAACAACAAACAAACAAACACTAAGAAATCATTTTTGTTTTTTACAGTAATACCTCGCAAAGATGTTTATTTAATGACAGCAATATTAAATGTACTTTTGTATCAGTAAACACAAAAACATGGAAAACTAACAAATGTTGAAACTGCTTTTTTTCGGCTGATTGTGAAATGACTTTCATTTATGTTTTGGCACACGTAAATTCCAAAGAGCACTCTTAGCATCTTTACGAGTGACCCGTCGCACACTTTAACAAGATTCATTTCTATCCCTGGTCATGAAAATCTTCACTTGCAATAATTCCTAAGATAGCTTTATGCCAGAGACATATTCTCAAATTACTTCAGAAAATAAGCAAAATGCTGAGCTGTTCAAATAACAGTCCTACTATAGTGATTATATATACATATACTGCCTAAGCAGTAGGGAGCTTTGACTGCCTGCAGTGATAGTATAGAGAGTTCTGCAAATGGGCTATCACTGCGAGGAGCTTGCCTGTGCACCATACACCACATCTTCCTGTTCTGCAGCTGTTGTAAGCTGTGCCAGGAATCAGTGGTCATGGTACTGGTATCAAATCCCAGATTTAGTTGAATTTCAAGTGTTTTAACCAACATGGTAATGTCAACAATCTGCGTTACTTTTGGTAGAACATGTTTAGACTGGAATGTACTGCTATCATCATGATTATGTGCATGATTATGTTTATTTTGATTTTTGGTGCAGGCTGGCTTTGTAAGTTTTGTATGAAGTTTGTTTTATGCTGTTCACACAAAGTCAGGGTTATTTAGTTATGCTCTATTTATGCTCCTGACAAGGAGGTGAATGTTAATGTAATGCACAGTGAGGCATCAGAGGACAGACTATTCAGCATCACAGGTACTGAAGGCAGCAACGCTCTTGTGGTACCGGTAATTGGTAACTGCATTTGCATCTGTCAGCACCAAATCCTTCAGCTGCAAGCAAGGCACCTATAGGGATTAAAGGGGCACTGATCTAACGGACTGGTTGTTGCCTTTGTTATTGTTTTTCCCCCGTGAGTACCCGGATGATACGCAACGCAGCTGAGCGTGACCAGAGACTGGGGTACCGTCTGCAAGGACAGCTAAATAAACTTGGAGGCTGGAGGCAATATTTGTTTTACGCATTTTTGAACACTGATTGGTTAACTGTGATCTATAAAGATTTCGACAAAGGGCGCTTGTTAATTCATTTCTTCAGCCTAAACAAACAGACAAAAAGAACAAGGGAGCTCATCGGACGTCGTCATTTGGAAATACCCCAGATGGTTATAGTTTAATACTAAAAATAGTATCCATGCAGTGAAAGCATTTTCGGATTTCGGCTTGCGTCGATAATACGATTACTACTCCCTTGTTGTCATCAACGTTTTCTCGTATAACCCTACACTTGTGTATTTGTCGTCATTCACTCGATGCTCAGTTAATGAATTTATTACAGGTACAATTAGTGGTAGCACCACTTATATTACCTGACAAAGGTTCCCATTTGGCATTTATTGTGTCTGGGGTAATTATTCAATCTAAATCCAGGTTTGAAGTGAGGTGAAATGTGTGTTATGTAATATGCACGTGGCAGCCCAGCAAGAGATGAATGATCACTTGATTTACTTTTTTTTGTAAATCAACGGATCGTTCCTAGTCATCAAAGGATTAGCAGAAAATACGTTGATTGATTAATCACTGTTATCTTGCACAGTGGATATGTCAAGAGTGAGTGTTTACATGTCTAGGCTTACTAAAACAAAGGGAATACACTCATATCATGGCGCGAAGTGCCGATGTAAAAACAACATACTTTGTTCAAAGGGTTAACTGATAATACGTTGATTGATTGATCATTGATATCTATCACTCAATGGAATTTTTAGGAACCGTGTACGCTATGAAAATAGTTGTCACGTGGGCTTTCTCAGCCGACCATTGAGACTTGACACCTATGTAAAACACCTGAAACAATCCAAGCGATCAGTTGAGAAACGAACACGGGTTATAATATCCCGAAACGATATATATCTTTTAAAATATTTGATTGTTACTGAGACACGTGACATCGAATAAGTTTCTTTGTACAGCTGCAGACGAGTGGGATATTGTTCCTTTGTGTGGATATTCACGGATACATTCCTCGAACAAGGAAGCTGCCTAAAACTTATACACATAAATTTGGTAGGTTGTAATTATGATATCTGCATTTTGTTTTCCTTCATTTGAACCGATTCGTTCTTGTTTCTCTACGTCTTGGTTGGGAAATTCTTCAATGCGCGAGAGACGTTGTTTTCACAGGCCTTTTCCTTTGTAAGGTGTATATATTACCGTCTATTTGTAAAATGTGATTCTCTCAGGCAATTTATAAAATGTGTAAATATTTCAGTCATTTTGACTAAAAAATCTGTCCAGATTGATCAAGACGATCAAAAGGGCCTACAAACATCACAACAGATTATTATGTAGGATTAAAAGCCAAACAACTTAGAAATGTACTTTTCAACGTTACATTTTCAGTCTCTTGGTGATGACATTAAACATCAAAATGTTTGGAATTCGTTGTCATAATAATACAGATGGAAATGTTTTTCAGTCACTTTGTAAAATAACTGAATATTTAGACGTTTAATAAATTTGTTACACATTTGACAGTAAAAAAATATACACACTATACAAAAAGCATATGCTCAGGTGAAATATATACTTTGTGTTGCAAGTCAAAATAGTGTAAACGAAAATCGCAAAATTACCAAGCAAGTGACTTATCAAAACTTCGTCACCATTACCGATGCTACTCACAAAGATACCTACATTTCCTTATTATCTCGAAAACTGTATTTCATTTTGTTGATCAATGTGACCATATGCCCTTATTACTACCCATAAAAGTGACTAATGCGCTTACGAATGGCGCAGCAGAGGTCGCGAACTAGTCTAGATTTCTGCTATACATCCGGGTACTCACTGGGAAAAAACAATAACAAAGGCAACAACCAGTCCCGGGGAATTGCGTTAGATCAGTGCCCCTTTAAGATTGGTCTCCAGCAACCAGTGTTTGGCCATGTTGTCACACAAGGCGACACAATGGATTTGTGACCTGGTTGATTATGTGTCATTTGCTCATCATATCAGTCACTGGTTCATCTGGTCTAGACTCGGTGATTTACAGGCAGTCTTCATACAGCTGGAATATTGCTGAGTGCTGCATTAAGAAAGAAACAAACAAGGCCTGTAGAGACCACGGATGTGTTGTGTTATTGCTATGTCGGTTTATATTTGAAACACTATGTATTGCAATGTATTTTAAGCATTTTTTATTGTTTTCTGCTTATTTCATTCCAAGTCAGCTCATAACAGCTGCCAGTTCATAACAAAATCTTCATGATAACTTTAGCCCAAATGTGCTGTTAAGTAAGTGACAACCAATTAATTATCTTTCCTTTTTTTTTTCATTACGGTAATTAAAAGCATGTCTGAAATTACAAAGAAACCTATCCAGTGTCATGGTATGGCACACATCACGATATCACAATGCAGGCATCTGTATTTCAATACAATATTCAAGTTTTGCCATTGCCTATCTCTACGAGAATGAAAGCAGTTCATTGCTAACATCCTGACACAGACTAATGTGGAACATTTATATACTGTAAACAGGGAATTTTTTGCGACCATTTTATTATTGCGAGTTTTGCGACCGAGACTCAATCGCAAAAATTAAAAACGCAAAAATAAGTATAAATAATACATACATACTTTATTCATTGCAACACGTCATCAAATGTTGAAATCATCAACCAGAACCACAAGTTACTCTATAAGTTAAAAACACAAATGAATGCAGAATGGTCACACAATACATCACAAATGACAGTGTAAACCGATCAATTAGAGTCACTGTTACCTCACAGTAATCCTGCCTTCTTCCAACCTCGCTTGATTGCGTCAGTGTCCTTTGCAATTTTGTCCACACAGGAAACAAGCCATCTTGCGTGAATTGGTTTCATGACACTGGTCAACTTTCCGGCCAACTCAGATTAACTAGCTTCGGAGAGAAGCTGTCTATTGTTTGGTAATCGAGGGGTCATCTCAACACAGCAACTCGCAAAAATATCTCGTCGCAGTATTGTCTTTTGTGTGGTATTCGCAATATTTTAACGGCGCAGAAATAAAGCTGTTTACAGTATGTGATGGATGCTATTAGTGCCAGACAAAGCTTTTACTGGGCTTGAAACCACTACCTTTCTGTGCCTGAAGCTCTCATCAATTTTGGTACTTAACTTAGAAAAAATGATGTTGTTTTATCACTTTCAACATCATGGACTATTCATTGCTGCTTGATGTTAGGATGATGAGAAATAACACCTCTTTAAGACAACTTGTGTGTACCTCTTGGTCTTATGGATTCACCTGTATTCATAACTATTCATACATTTTTCTGGTGAGTAATATTAATTACAAAATAACCAATAAGACAGCATTCGTTCACGTGGACAGATAGCCCATAATTCTTAGTTTTGAGCAGGTAAACTTCACTGAATGCAGCCTGTTGTTGAGGTGATGATACAATCACTGGTCTTGATTTAGCTATGTAAAACATGCACCAGTGCAACCTATTTTTAAAAAATTACATCCTAATTTTTAAAAACTGCAACCTAATTTTTTAAATTTACACCAAGTGCATGTAATTTTTTTTAAAAATTTGTGGCAGACTACTAGGGCTGCAACGAATACACTATGAGGCGAATACGATTCATATCACGAAAATAGGGTAACGAATATGAATATTAATTCACAATTACAATAACAAGTCAGCAGTTTATGTATTATTTATTATATTCAGTGAAACAATAACATCATAATTTATTTGACATGGTTTGTTAATTATTAATAAATCATACATTTATATACTGCACATATCCAGGTACTAGTATCTGCTCAAATGCGACAATGACCAGTGAAAACAATACTATCAAATTAAATATTATTAGAATGTTGTCATTGAAAGAAATCTATGCATATAGTATGTTGTTATGGATATTTTTAGGTACAGGGTATGTAAATATGCATGATAGCATATTCATAAATATTCGATTCTAGTGGCCATGAATAACGAATTCAATTCATGAATGGTTACGGTTCGATTCACCGAATACGCGAGTGAATCGTAACAGCCCTACTGACTACCCTTACTTTTCAACCCAACAATGATTTTTGAACTCAATCAGTATCTTAAAGCTACACCATTAACCCCGTGTTTTGTGTAATTCGTCATGCTTTCTTACCTTACATTCCTTTTAAATTTTACATCAATACATCATTAATTTATGTAGAATCGTGATACAGTCTGAAATCTGAGATTTTATTTATGTGGACTGATTGATGCATCTTTGTGTTGACCTTTAATAAACTTATGGGAGCATGATGCAAACTGGATTTGTCCGGTGCAACTAGGTTTTCATATAAACATGCACCTGGTTTAAGTTAATTCAAGTTCCTTAAATCAAGTCCTGAAGCACTGTGTCATCATGTCGCCTTAACTGACCATTTGGGATCAATCTCATTAAAATCTGACCTTAGTTCTCGCTACCGCTAAACGAAGATCTGAAGACATCCCATTAGGGGTCACGTCAGAACGACCTTTCATCCGACTAATCAGAGAGTGGCTTACCAGATCAGGAAAGTGACAGTCGGAATGTGATTTCTAATCATGCAACCTCGAAAACTTTAACACGGGGTATTCCGAACGATAGTTACGGGTTTAACGACTGAATCCATACAATCTAGACCATCTATTAGGCATGTTCTTTTGTTCAGGTTTCAAATTTGTAATTGAGAATTTATCAAAATATGTTTCGAAGCCTAGTCGCCACTTTGAAATTAGTGCCGTAAAGCACGAGAAAGCTGCCCTATGATTGGTCATTCCATTGGTTGGTCAAAGTTCGCGCAAGGTCGGTCTGGTGTGACCTGTAATGGGATGTCCTCAGATCTTTGTTTAACGGTAGCGAGAACTAAGATCTGATTTTAATGAGATTGATTCGGGATTGAGAATTGTTTAAATGCTTGTATTGGAAAGCTATTATTACACACAATCTTTATACCCTCATAACATAAGCGAGATAGCCCTGACATTTTGTGAACAGTTCAGATATTAGAATTGCTTTTGATTTTCTTTGAGTTGCTGTTTTAGTTGTTTGTGTATGTATTGCATGTGTTCAGATGTGACCAGTCAGTGAAACACTTCAATCTCACATGGAATGGCACAGAGTTCAAGTTTGGCCACGGGACGTTCAAGACGATCAAGGATCTGCTGTTTCACTTTGACAACAAACCCCTGATAGGCGGAGAGTCTGGTGGGTGTTGGGGCGACGAGGCAGTATCAGTTGTCATATACGTTGCTGGGGAACCTTATGGTGTATTTCAGTAACAGTGAATCTACATAATAATAATGATGATGATGATGATGATGATGATTATGATGATGGTGGTGATGATGATGATGATGATGATGATGATGATGATGATGAGGCACGCCATTGGCAGGAACTTCACACCCCTCAAGGAAAGTTTGTTCTAAATGCTTGTAAATTCCTTTACCCACTCTTTAAGGTTTAAGTTAACATTTGTGGATAGTTTAATTTTATTTTCGAGTAGCATGTCTTCCAGATGACAGTTGACATTATGTGTTGCAGGTCAGCTGGTGCTACTCACTCAGCCCTACCCACGTGACATCGAGGAGCCCCAGATGTACGAATATGTCACCGTGCATGCAGAACTATCCTCAGCAGATACCAATGAACAAAGGTCAGATTTCTCGGTAGGTTAGGCCAGACTTTTTTTTCTTCCTTTTTTATTGTGAAAACATTTGGTAGGAAGGAAATGAATAAAAAATAAAATGCATTGTTCCTGATTTTTTTCATCATCTCAGAGGTGATTGGATCTGTTTGTGACAAAAGAGATAAACTTGGCCTAGTTTGGGTCCTTATAAATATTATTACTAAATTTCTGCTTCAGCCATATAATAATCCATGGGATAATGTTTATTGTCAAAGTGTTCTTTTCTGTTGCTGGTATGAAAACACCTTGTCATTCTGATATTTTTATTCTGATTTATATGTATGTATGGTTGCGGGTCCGTAGTCCAAGCAACAAGAATGTAGTGGCTTACGAGACTCATCTGGTGTGACCATTATGAAGTTTTATTGTTGTATAGTTGTATAATCTGTTTTGACCATGAAATGTTTATGATTTCCAGATCAACTCAAAGGAGGGTTTCCTCACTAAGATAGGAGCTCATTTCAAGGTGAGGATATTGGTCAGACTCACATCAGAGATTGTCCTATGACAAGGATAATTTCTTAATCTTTGTTTTTAAAATGTACTATGGTAACCTAACTTGACAGTATGTGAATTTAATAATAATGAAAGTCTAATTTAAGATGTTAAAACTTGTGTGAAAGTCATTAATACCAGTGTTATGTGCATGATAGATTCAGATGGGTAGCAGACTGCCTCTGTGGTCTAGTGGGTAGAGCGTCTGCCCGGAGAGCGGAAGGTCTGGGTTTTCGATCTCCGGCCTCATCATACCAAAAGACGTTAAAGTATGGCACTTGTTGTTACCCTGTCTGGTGCTCGGCATTAAGGGGCTAAAACAAGGACTGGTCAGCTCGGAGTCAGTATACTGTATCTACAAGATATTGACAAAAAAGTTGTGATATAAAGTAACGAATATTCTGTTGATTGAAACATGTTAAATTGAAAATATGTTTCTGTTTTAAGGAAGTAGTACTCATATATTGCCTCTGATATGATTAGGTGTATTGGTTTATAAACATCAAGGAAAATATTCTGGAATCCCGTTTCATCTGAGACCCTCGCCTCGACCCTAAGCCATCGCTATAAGAAGAATAGGTGCCATTAATTACAATACTTGAATGCTAAAGCTTATAAACTCCATATTTTGTGTTTCTTTGTCAGACGTGGAGGACTCGGTGGTTTGTGCTGCAGAAACACGAGTTAAAGTATTACAAGCAGAACACGGACAAACACCCCATACGGACCCTCGACCTGAAACACTGCTCTGAATGTTGTCGTGACTTCTCTCACAAGGACAAGCAATACGTGTTCAGGTGAGCTTCATTCAACCTACATGTACATGTATTACTAGTTCAGGTGAGCTTCAATCAATCTCCACTTACTTGTACTACATGTTCAGGTGAGCTTCATTCAACCTACATGTACATGTATTACCAGTTCAGGTGAGCTTCAAATCAATCTCCATGTACTTGTACTACATGTTGAGGTGAGCTTCATTCAATCTACGACCCCCTTCGTGGTCTACTGGAGAGCCTGCCCTGAGAGCAGGTCGGGGGTTCGATCCTTGGCCATATCATACGTAAAGATGTCAAAAGATGGTAGTTGTTGTTACCCTGCCAGGCGATCGACAAGGAGCTAAAACAAGGACGGCTCTGCTCGGCTCGGCATGGCTCGGCTCGGCTCGGCTCGGCTCGGTGGTCTTGTGGTAGAGTTTCCGCCCGGAGAGCGGAAGGTTCGGGGTTTGACCCCTGGCCGCATCATACCAAAAGACGTTAAAAGATGGTACTTGTTGTTACCCTGCTATATAGCACATCACTATATAAGTGCTATGATCTTGAACGTGACGTTAAACCCCATTTCACATAACCTCACAATTCAATCTACACGATGATGTTTGTGATATTAAATATTATATATCACTGATATATTAGTTACGTTACTTCAGCTCTTTATCCACGAATGACTTATGCAGTGTCCTATGGATAGAAATAGTCTTCAGACAAAAAGGGAGTACTTGTCTGGTGAGTTTTGATGTTGACCTTAGATCAGTACTTAAAGTGACTTCTGTTGTTGTCCAGGTTAAAGTTTGACTGGCGGACATTCTACATTTATGCCACATCCGAGCAGGAGATGAACGAATGGATGAAGGTGATCAACTGGAGGCTGGTGAGTGGCCGTCACCTGATGTAGTCCCTGTACCATCTCCTCCATCCCTGTACCATCTCCTCCATCACCTGATGTAGTCGCTGTACCATCTCCTCCATTCACCTGATGTAGTCCCTGTACCATCTCCTCCATCCCTGTACCATCTCCTCCATCACCTGATGTAGTCGCTGTACCATCTCCTCCATTCACCTGATGTAGTCCCTGTACCATCTCCTCCATCACCTGATGTAGTCGCTGTACCATCTCCTCCATCTCTGTACCATCTCCTCCATCACCTGATGTAGTAGCTGTACCATCTCCTCCATTCACCTGATGTAGTCCCTGTACCATCTCCTCCATCCCTGTACCATCTCCTCTGTCACTTGATGTAGTCCCTGTACCATCTCCTCCATCCCTGTACCATCTCCTGATGTAGTCCCTGTACCATCTCCTCCATCACCTGATGTAGCCCCTGTACCATGTCCTCCATCCCTGTACCATCTCCTCCATCCCTGTACCATCTCCTCCATCACCTGATGTAGTCCCTGTACCATCTCCTCCATCCCTGTACCATCTCCTCCATCTCCTAATGTAGTCCCTGTACCATCTCCTCCATCCCTGTACCATCTCCTCCATCACCTGATGTAGTCCCTGTACCATCTCCTCCATCCCTGTACCATCTCCTCCATCACCTGATGTAGTCCCTGTACCATCTCTTCCATCCCTGTACCATCTCCTCCATCTCCTGATGTAGTCCCTGTATCATCTCCTCCATCCCTGTACCATCTCCTCCATCACCTGATGTAGTCCCTGTACCATCTCCTCCATCACCTGATGTAGTCGCTGTACCATCTCCTCCATTCACCTGATGTAGTCCCTGTACCATCTCCTCCATCCCTGTACCATCTCCTCCATCCCTGTACCATCTCCTCCATCACCTGATGTAGTCCCTGTACCATCTCCTCCATCACCTGATGTAGTCGCTGTACCATCTCCTCCATCCCTGTACCATCTCCTGATGTAGTCCCTGTACCATCTCTTCCATCCCTGTACCATCTCCTCCATCACCTGATGTAGTCCCTGTACCATCTCCTCCATCCCTGTACCATTTTCTCCATCACCAGATGTAGTCCCTGTACCATCTCTTCCATCCCTGTACCATCTACTCCATCTCCTGATGCAGTCCCTATACCATCTCCTCCATCCCTGTACCATCTCCTCCATCACCTGATGTAGTCCCTGTACCATGTCCTCCATCCCTGTACCATCTCCTCCATCCCTGTACCATCTCCTCCATCACCTGATGTAGTCCCTGTACCATCTCCTCCATCCCTGTACCATCTCCTCCATCACCTGATGTAGTCCCTGTGCCATCTCTTCCATCCCTGTACCATCTCCTCCATCTCCTGATGTAGTCCCTGTACCATCTCCTCCATCCCTGTACCATCTCCTCCATCACCTGATGTAGTCCCTGTACCATCTCCTCCATCCCTGTACCATCTCCTCCATCACCTGATGTAGTCCCTGTACCATGTCCTCCATCCCTGTACCATCTCTTCCATCTCCTGATGTAGTCCCTGTACTATCTCCTCCATCCCTGTACCATCTCCTCCATCTCCTGATGTAGTCCCTGTACCATCTCCTCCATCCCTGTACCATCTCCTCCATCACCTGATGTAGTCCCTGTACCATCTCCTCCATCCCTGTACCATCTCCTCCATCACCTGATGTAGTCCCTGTACCATCTCCTCCATCCCTGTACCATCTCCTCCATCTCCTGATGTAGTCCCTGTACCATCTCCTACTTCATCTGTATTTATCACGATATATTACGAGCTTCTGAAGACACAAGCTCCAAAAGTATGGCTTCGATTTTCTTCATCTATGTCTCATTGCATAGCTTAATGTATTTGCTTGAAATGTGTGTAAGTGTTATAGGGGTATGAACACTGGACATTGTTGAATTCATCCTTGAACGAACTTAGTGAGTTGGCCTCGTTACATCCCTTTCCTTTTATGTAGTATACTGACACTGGGTGTGACCATATATCTTGTAGCTGCTATTGTTTGCATTACAAGCCCCATGATTTGGTCTACATAGATAATTTGCTTTTGATTCCAGAAACCACGGACATGAAGAGTGTTTGTGTCAAGAAATGGCTGACTGCATGAGTGGACGTTGGTGTGAGACTGTATGGTCAACTAATCATCTGCTGATACAAGGGAGCCTGCTGGGTCGTGACCTTGACCTCATTCGTTCAACTTGAAGCATGGTTGTGGGCTTTAGGACTGTCTGTTACCATGGTTACCAGTGATGTAACCGAGGTGGGTTGGTCAGCGACTGCTCTGGTCCCGTTGAAGGAAGATTTGTATCTGAGAGTGTCTGACATCTACATTATCCAGCGTATGTGTTTATTCTATTATGATAAAAACTTAGACCCATTCGCCACCAAAGCTTTGTTAAGATGTGACTTCATCACCACCATCTCTCGTATCACCATCTTGGCACAGAATTTCCGTTGCTCATGACCTTGAAATATACAACCAATCAAAATGCCTCTACTAAACATGAGTACGGCATATATCCACATTCAAAATCACAGTCTTGCACATGCAAGTCCTCGATATATCCCCGTGTTATTGGTTTTCAGACGCTTAAGAAACATTCATAGTTGTTACTCTAATCACAAGAACAACTGTAAAACATCTCACTCAGTTATAAAAGATGACTTTATCTTAAAAACAGGCCATCATCTGAGTATTTAAAATGTCTGTGTGACGCCAATCCTCTAGCTATAGCGTGAGTAATCGCGATAAACATGGCCATCCGAAAACGTATGATGTCCGAAAACCTATGATCCGAGGATATTAAATACAATCAGAAGACTGTTTATACTGAACTTGTGGCTGGAAAGAGGTTTTCATGATTATTAGGATGTCAGGGTAGTCCTTATGTTACAAGACGTTCACAGTTCTATTTGAGACATCTCACAGTTCTATTTGAGACATCTCACAGTTCTATTTGAGACATCTCGCAACAATTCAAGGTGAGGCAGCTTCTTGCTTCAATAATGAAAGAACAATGTAATTTGATTTGTCGATAGTTTATAGCGTCATGTCATTCCAACTGGTCTCAAACCGAATAAATGGCAGTGAATTGATCAAGGGTATCTATCATAATAGAATGGAGATATGTTACACTGGAGGTTAAAAGTCTGTAAGCTCTCTAATTGATAGAAATGTATTCTATGTTCTGACATTTCCTATTGCTTTTACTTATGTAGACAGATGACAGGTATGATGTTGACTGGTGCGAGAGATTTGTATGTTGTGTAACTGACGATTGTTAGTTTTGGTGTAATGGTGGGTTACCATCCTCAAGTCAAGTTATTTTCAGCCTTTTGGGGTCTATCTCCCCATCAATCTGAATGGCACCTGCTACCTTTGATAAACAAAGTCTGAAGGCAGACTGTAAGCAAGGTCTACAATGAGCAAACTGTGATAGGTCTGCTGGATACACAATCTCTCGGAGCTGTTGTTGTCATCACTCTCACTCTTGTTATTCTCTGTAATATACTGGCATATCATAGCTTAGGGAACTCTGTTTTACAACATACTTTAATATCCTCCTTTATCATATACTGGTGTATAACATAATGATGTGTCATACTACATAACATGCTGGTATATGACAGGGGTATATCATGTTTCATGGCATACTTGTATGATACTGTCTGAAAATACTTGCATGTCATACGTTTTGGTTAACCTGTTGCAGTACACTGGTACATGGACTGATACCTGACTATGATGTTATGGTAAAACACAATGGACATCTTTAACATCATTCCTTATCTGTTTATGATACACTGCCTTATGACATGTTATACTGGTAGAAAACTGGTATGATTCTGGTAGAATACTGTTATGGCATACTGGTAGAATACCAGTAGAAGACTGTTATGGTATAGTGGTTGAATACTGGTATGGTATACTGGTAGAATACTGGTATGGCATACTTGTAGAATAATGTTATGGCATACTGGTAGAATACCAGTAGAAGACTGTTATGGTATACTTGTAGAATACTGTTATGGCATACTGGTAGAATACTGGTATGGCATATTTGTAGAATAATGTTATGGCATACTGGTAGAACACTGGTATGGTATACTGGTAGAATACTGGTATGGCATACTTGTAAAATAATGTTATGGCATACTGGTAGAATACCAGTAGAAGACTGTTATGGCATACTGGTAGAATACTGGTATGGCATACTTGTAGAATAATGTTATGGCATACTGGTAGAACACTGGTATGGCATACTTGTAGAATAATGTTATGGCATACTGGTAGAACACTGTTAGGGCATACTTGTAGAATACTGGTATGGCATACTGTTAGAACACTGGTATGGCATACTGGTAGAATACTGGTATGGCATACTTGTAGAATACTGTTATGGCATACTGGTAGAACACTGGTATGGCATACTTGTAGAATACTGGTATGGCATACTGGTAGAACACTGGTATGGCATACTTGTAGAATACTGTTATGGCATACTGGTAGAATACTGTTATGGCATACTGGTAGAACACTGGTATGGCATAATTGTAGAATACTGGTATGGCAAAAGGTTAGAACACTGGTATGGCATACTTGTAGAATACTGGTATGGCATACTTGTAGAATACTGTTATGGCATACTGGTAGAATACTGTTATGGTATGCTGGTTGAAGACTGGTATGGTATGGTATGCTGGTAGAATACTGGTATGGCATACTGTTAGAACACTGGTATGGCATAATTGTAGAATACTGGTATGGCATACTGTTAGAACACTGGTATGGCATACTTGTAGAATACTGGTATGGCATACTTGTAGAAAACTGGTATGGCATACTGGTAGAATACTGGTATGGTATGCTGGTTAAAGACTGGTATGGTATGCTGATTGAAGACTGGTATGGTATGGTATGCTGGTATAATACTATCGTGATAATGTACATGAATTATGGGTATGGTAGTTTAGTAGGCTGTATCATATTCTTACGTATACCATGATCACATGGCTAATAATGTCCTTTTGTCACAATGGAAACATGTTTATGTAGCAATTGTATTAAGCAAACCCGTATCCAATATACTGCTTGTCAGTAAGTATCATACTGTATGGTATACTAGATCATCATAGTGAATAACATTTCATGCTTTAAACTGTGTACGATACCAGTATGGTTTGACAAGGATTGTCTACTATAGTCTGATATTTTAGAATGCTGCATGTGTGAGGGTGTGTGAGTGAGTGTGCATGTGAGTGAGGGTGAGTGTGCATGTGTGTGCTTATGTGTGAGTGTGTGCATGTGTGTGAGGGTGTGTGTGCTTATGTGTGAATGTGTGTGAGGGTGAGTGTGCATGTGTGTGCTTATGTGTGAGTGTGTGCATCTGTGTGAGGGTGAGTGTGTGCATGTGTGTGAGGGTGTGTGTGCTTATGTGTGAATGTGTGTGAGGGTGAGTGTGCATGTGTGTGCTTATGTGTGAGTGTGTGCATGTGTGTGAGGGTGAGTGTGCTTATGTGTGAGTGTGTGCATCTGTGTGAAGGTGAGTGTGTGAGGGTGTGTGTGCTTATGTGTGAGTGTGCATGTGTGAGGGTGAGTGTGCATGTGTGTGTGCATGTCTGTGAGGGTGAGTGTGCATGTGTGTGCTTCTGTGTGCTTCTGTGTGAGTGTGTGCATCTGTGTGAAGGTGAGTGCCTGTATGCATGTGCATGACAACGTTTTCAGTTTCTTACAACATGACAGTTGTGAGTAAATATCCATAATGTATCATTTACAGCTTTAAGTTGCTTCATCACTTGGTTACACTGGATGCTGGCTGTGTCCCCAGAACTAGATTACAGCTTGTACTGTAATGTACAGAGATGATGCCATGATGGGTGGCAGTGCCACTGGTGTCACCATAATGAACCAGTACTTGTGCACAGAGATAGTTCATACATATTCCATAAAGTAGTGTTCTACCGCAATAAAACTGTTGATATTTGAATAGGGTAGCGGCCATTGATTTTATCTGTATTGATCATTTTCATTGTTGTTTTTTTCTTGAAGAATAACCACCATTTTGTTGTAAAAAACAACAATAACAAAAATTTACATGTACATGTTCTCCCATCAATAAAACTGTTGATATTTGAATAGGGTAGTGGCCATTGATTTTATCTGTATTGATCATTTTCATTGTTGTTTTTTCATGAAGAATAACCACCATTTTGTTGTAAAAAACGACAATAACAAAAATTTACATGTGCATGTTCTTGTATACTCAACCTCTTAAAATAGCGTACAGTGATAATCTACAGTTATATCTTAGACTACATGGCCTGCTCTGGAGGGAATAGTGTCCTTGTAAGTGTAAGCCTAGCTGTAATTGATATGCTATATTTGTGTTTCCTTCCTATCATGAAGGAGGTATCTGTGTGACTGACAGGCATGTTGGGTTTTACGTGAAACTTCCTGGTTTGTATTGATCGTTGAGTCACATGGCCATCCTGCCCTGTCTCGCCCAGTCATCACTTCCTTCTCCCATCCTTGTCAGTCTCCTCACCCAGCCTTGTCAATCTCCTCACCCAGCCTTGTCAGTCTCCTCACCCAGCCTTGTCAATCTCCTCATCCCAGCCTTGTCAGTCTCCTCACCCTGCCTTGTCAATCTCCTCACCCTGCCTTATCAATCTCCTCACCCTGCCTTGTCAATCTCCTCACCCTGCCTTGTCAATCTCCTCACCCTGCCTTGTCAGTCTCCTCACCCAGCCTTGTCAGTCTCCTCACCCAGCCTTGTCAGTCTCCTCACCCAAACTTGTCAGTCTCCTCACCCTGCCTTGTCAATCTCCTCACCCAGCCTTGTCATTCTCCTCACCCAGCCTTGTCAGTCTCCTCACCCTGCCTTGTCAATCTCCTCACCCAGCCTTGTCAATCTCCTCACCCTGCCTTGTCAATCTCCTCACCCTGCCTTGTCAATCTCCTCACCCAGCCTTGACAGTCTCCTCACCCAGCCTTGTCAGTCTCCTCACCCAGCCTTGTCAGTCTTCTCACCCATCCTTGTCAATCTCCTCACCCTGCCTTGTCAATCTCCTCACCCTGCCTTGTCAATCTCCTCACCCTGCCTTGTCAGTCTCCTCACCCAGCCTTGTCAGTCTCCTCACCCAGCCTTGTCAGTCTCCTCACCCAGCCTTGTCAGTCTCCTCACCCTGCCTTGTCAATCTCCTCACCCAGCCTTGTCATTCTCCTCACCCAGCCTTGTCAGTCTCCTCACCCTGCCTTGTCAATCTCCTCACCCAGCCTTGTCAATCTCCTCACCCTGCCTTGTCAATCTCCTCACCCTGCCTTGTCAATCTCCTCACCCAGCCTTGACAGTCTCCTCACCCAGCCTTGTCAGTCTCCTCACCCAGCCTTGTCAGTCTTCTCACCCATCCTTGTCAATCTCCTCACCCTGCCTTGTCAATCTCCTCACCCTGCCTTGTCAATCTCCTCACCCAGCCTTGTCAATCTCCTCACCCAGCCGTGTCAATCTCCTCACCCTGCCTTGTCAATCTCCTCACCCTGCCTTGTCAATCTCCTCACCCAGCCTTGTCAATCTCCTCTCCCATCCTTGTCAGTCTCCTCACCCAGCCTTGTCAGTTTCCTCACCCAGCCTTGTCAATTTCCTCACCCAGCCTTGTCAGTCTCCTCACCCTGCCTTGTCAGTCTCCTCACCCAGCCTTGTCAGTCTCCTCACCCTGCCTTGTCAATCTCCTCTCCCATCCTTGTCAATCTCCTCACCCAGCCTTGTCAATCTCCTCACCCAGCCTTGTCAGTCTCCTCACCCAGCCTTGTCAGTCTCCTCACCCAGCCTTGTCAGTCTCCTCACCCAGCCTTGTCAATCTCCTCACCCAGCCTTGTCAATCTCCTCACCCTGCCTTGTCAATCTCCTCACCCTGCCTTGTCAATCTCCTCTCCCATCCTTGTCAATCTCCTCGCCCATCCTTGTCAATCTCCTCACCCAGCCTTGTCAGTCTCCTCACCCAGCCTTGTCAGTCTCCTCACCCAGCCTTGTCAATCTCCTCACCCAGCCTTGTCAATCTCCTCACCCAGCCTTGTCAGTCTCCTCACCCAGCCTTGTCAATCTCCTCACCCAGCCTTGTCAATCTCCTCACCCAGCCTTGTCAATCTCCTCACCCAGCCTTGTCAGTCTCCTCACCCTGCCTTGTCAATCTCCTCTCCCATCCTTGTCAATCTCCTCACCCAGCCTTGTCAGTCTCCTCACCCAGCCTTGTCAGTCTCCTCACCCAGCCTTGTCAATCTCCTCACCCAGCCTTGTCAATCTCCTCACCCTGCCTTGTCAATCTCCTCACCCAGCCTTGTCAATCTCCTCACCCTGCCTTGTCAATCTCCTCACCCAGCCTTGTCAATCTCCTCACCCTTTACACGTGTAGCCACTTGTGAGTGAGTGAGTTGGGTTTGACACCCCTTTGAACAGTATTTCTGTTGTCCCACAGCATCTCAGCTTATTATTGAAGAAAGGCCCAGGTCATATACGCTTACCACTTTGGTGAAACCCAGGAGCACATTTCCTGTAAGAAACTGAGATTAGAGCCCCTGATCAGTTGATCCTGGCATCAGTAACGGACCTTGCAGATCGACTCCTGTCCCCTTCTACAACTGGGCTCCTGTGCACACTCATCCAATTCTTTTTCCATTCAATCTAGCAGTTGATGTGTATCCTAATAATACACAGACAATGTCTCAAGTTGCCATACATCTAGTCACATTTGCTGTGGCGGCCGTGGGGTCTACAATGTCTACAGCCAATAGCAATTAAAGGGCCGCTGCAGCATTCCAACGGTCACACACTGTAGCAGTCACATATGTTAGGGTAGCCGCACAGCGTATTTTGAATTTGTGGTGACAGAAAACCTGCGGCTGCCTTTGAAGTGACGATGAACCGTCGCCTTAGGGCGTCCCTGCGGCGGCCATAGGTTTTTTGACAAATACCAAGGCAGACTCAAGGTAGCCGCAAGGCGGCAGCAGGGTGACCATACGGCGGCCGTGCAGCCAGACTGACCCTGCTGCTACACAGGGCAGCCGCAGGGCAAATGCAAGGCCACGTTACGCCCCGCGTATGGTCCCCGTGGAACCACTCTAGGGATATGCCCTAGGGCGACCCTGCGACCACCACAGGTCCTTTGTGGCCGCCGCAGGTATCTCTCGATTTCGGGGCTATGGCAACCGTATCCTAGCTTAGAGCAAATGTGACTAAGGCATAAGGACCATAGTCTCTTTGAACTACGTTATCATGATCTGTGAGTTGGTTCATGGGCAATTAGTTTCTAGTAGGATCCAAACGTGGTGACTCTTATCATGTATTTTTGTCATTGTTAATTACTGTCAAGTAAATACTGAATGTCCAATATGTTTTATGTAATTGTTCTTTAAAATCAATGGCATACCTCTTTGATTGTTTCAGTAATATTAGCAAGTTACAATTTTTCCTGTTTTGCTGATTTCCTCTTACAAGCAAACTGTGCTTGTTATCCTTTCATTTGACTGAACAGGGCTCGGTTTTAGGAATTTGATTTAACTTGCACCAGGTGCATGTTGACATGAAAACCAAGTTGCACTAGCCAGGTTGCACCCTGGTACCTTTAACTTAACAAAGTTGAAAGTTAAAAAGCGGGCCTGCTGCCTGTGTCACGTTAATTAATGGCATATTGCTGTAAAACGTAATACGAACATGTAATTAATTTTGAAGTACTTGGAGTTTTGATGATGTCAAGCCCATGAACGACGAGGCATTGAATCTGTTCAAAGATCGTTGATGTGTGGACAAGTAAGGATTCATCATCCCGAGGCCAGGGAGTTAACTGACTGTAAAAGTCAAGTTTCCACCCTTGCCGAACTAGGCTGGAATTTCTGGGCTCGATTGTGGTGCCCCCAGTGGCTATTACGAGTTAATTCCCTCTATGTCCCTCCTATTGACCAATCAGATTCCACCTCTCATATCACTTGCATTTGCTTCAAACAAGATGGTGGTGCCCAGTCAAGACGATCTGATCAATACTCAGTATCTATATTGTAAAAAAACGGGCTTTACTTCGCGATGTGCATCAAAGCACCTTGATTCAAAACATGAAAATATTTGAAAATATCTGTTCACGCCAAGTTTGTGGTCATCAACCGCAATCTGCACACAGTTTACAAACCGGATGTCAATTTTGTCGCGTGATTTTGACTGGACTGTGCATAGACCCATTAGTCCAACCAAAATATAACTCCATAATACCAGCCTAGTTCAGCAAGGGTGGAAATTGGACTTTTATAGTCAGTGAACTCCACTGTCTTGGGAAGATGGTAAGGATTTGGCAGACA